TAAAATTGACAGCGGGACAGCTCCGGAGGTGGTACTAATTAGTCTCTCTGATACTGTACTTGTAATTTATTTGTCTAAAAATGAAAATTGTATACATGTTTCATTGAGGAATGATTCGGGAAACTGATGTCTATAGACCGAAAACTTGTCCGACATAAATAAATTAGAAGCGACCAAATGCCCAGAGAAGTTGAACCTTGTTTTTATTTGCAATAAAACGGCATCGCATCTTTCTAAGGTTTCACGTTTTCTGTTGTTCTCTTTAATTCGTGCCTTTTTTCTTATTGGTTCACCAGTTTCTCCTTGCGACGTGTTTATTTTTCCTTGAATATTGTCAATAATGCTGTCCATTTGCTCCCGTATACCATGAATTGCTGCTTATAAATTCTCCAAATCTTTGTTGACCTTTAACAGAATCTGTGCATACTTTTTGTAATTGGCAACCTGCGATTAACTACCTCATCCAAAATTTTTGTTCTTTGAGAAAACGTGAAAAAGAAAGAGCACAAAGAGCACAAGAGAACAAATTGGAAAAAATATTCTAGCCTGCACTTGTCATAAGTAAATTCATCTGGTGTGCATAGCAATGAACGTAATTTGCAAGAGCATATGTTTGTTTAATAATTTTTTGCACACCATTTAATCCACCACTCATTACAGATGCGCCGTCATAGCTTTGAGCAATTAATTTATTTGGACTATATGTTTACAGTTACACGTTATTTATTTATCAAAACTCAAACTATTGATCTTTTTACATGAGTAGTTATTTTAATATGAATTAAATATTTGTAATATTATATGATACTCAAAATATATATAATGTGGGATTAAAGAGGCAAATAAATATCAAAACAAAAAAAAAACAGAAAAAAGTGCTGGACTGACACTATATCTATATTTAAAAACTTAAAATGTTTAGATATTCATATAAAACCCTTTTAAATTGGTTAATATCAATTATCCAATCTATATTGCTCATTGAAGTGAAGTTATTAGCAAGTCTTATATGAGTTAGAGGAGATTGCAGAGTGCTTTTAGAAATATTAAATATTAGAGAGGATCTGACACGTCTTGATGGAACATTAAATGGTACTAACAACAATAATTGCATAATATAATTTGTGACTGTTAACAATTTTATAAAGAAACAAAATCATAGATTGTTTACGTCTATTAGTTAGTGAAGGAACTACAAATTCGTCTCTAAGGATAGATCATTGGCGTAGCTAGGGAATGGCCAGGGGGGCCGGGCCCATCGTGATGTATCTCTGGCCCCCTGAAAGATTTAAATAAAAAACTGTATCAAAAAAACGTAGTAGGTGAATTTACTTATATTTATTATGTATTCAATTTAATTTCCAATAAATTGGAATAGCTTAATCTTAGCGACTTACAGATGGTAGGTCAATCCTACGACGGAGCTGCGGTGATGTCGGGTAATATAAATGGTCTCCAAGGAAATAGCTAGACAAATATCCAACTGCAATTTACACGCACTGTTAACTTATAGACTTAACTTGGCTGTGGTGGACTCAAAAATGTTCCATCAATATCGACATTTTTTTGTACTTTGGAAGCAATTTACGAACATTTCTCAGATCTACAGAACCATACCAAATACAAACAAATATTAAAAGACTTCAATATTGTCCCTAGAGAGTTTGAAAAATCTGTCCGATACTCGTTGGGTGTGTCGATATACGACTTGCCACGCTGTTAAAACATGTTTCAAGGGAATTGTCAATGCTTTGGAAAACGAAGTTTCTAATAAAAATGACAGTCAATTACAGCAATCGGCATATTATCCAGCATTAAACAACCTTCATTCATAATTCATCTTTTTGTATTAGACGGGATACTAAATCTCTTAAATTTGTTATCGAAAAGCCTTCAGGAGAAAGGTGCGATTCTGGGGAAAGCAATTAACGTTATTAAAAGCATGATTAATTCACTAGTTGAAATGAGAAACGAAAATACTATACTTGACATTCATCTAAAAATTTCGGACTTTGCTGAAAAATATCAAGTATCATTGGAAATTCCCTCATCAAAACGAAAAAACCAATTCAATAACAAGCTCGCTGATTTCGTCACCGAAACAACTATAGGACTAGGTTTGATAGACGCCACAAGCTCTAGAGCTAATATCGGAGTAATTGAGTATTGGCAAACATTTTCTACCAAATTATTGATACTGTAAAAGGGTTTCTAAACAGAAGGTTCTCATCAGAAAGTATGGTGCTTGCCAATTCTGTGGATAATTTTTTCAGTTAGATTTTGAGGGTTATCTGAGATTTTTTGCCCATACTACTGAAGCAAATTTTAATTTTTTTCGTATTAAAGTAAAATATAGATATTTTATTCGAAAATCGAGATATTTACATTCGAAGGTGGATATTCTATATTTTAATTTATTTTTTTAAATATGTAATTTTGGATTTTTTTTATAAATTCCAACAAAAGCAAATAATTTATTTAAAAAAACATAAAAAAAATGAAAATTATAGTCTTAATAAGTTTTTGGATATTGCAGTAAAATTTATTATTTGCTGATGGATCTATCTTATAACACCAAAAAGGTTTGCCGAATTTAGTAATATTATAGCCATTAATAATTTATGATTTGTCAAGCTTTAACACCCTGTATTTCGGAAACGAATAACATTTTACTCAGTCACGTTTCATTTAATCGCCTTTTTTTTAGTCAGAGAATCTTCAGTTTTTCTGTCTCATTCATAATGAGACAGTAAAGTTCATAAATTCAAATATTTATTTTATCTTAACTACTTACCTCTAAATTATAAAATTTTGTAATTTTTTATAGTGAGACGAAAAAATATACTGTACAACTTGAATTTAACTTTTAATATTACCTACATTTAACGTTCTTCTAACTTTTTATTCAGTAATGCTGCATTACTAATGCATAATAATTATATTTACAAGTAACTATGGTTTAACTAAGATATTCGAAATTTAAGAATTTGAAAACGGTATAGGATATGTATATCATATAATTTTGAAGTCGGGATAAAAGATAATTTCAAAATTTTTATAATATACAGGATATTATACTATTAAAAAAAAAGAAGACGCCACTGAACTTTTGATGGCATTTTAACAAAAATCAGTCATAATCGCACAAAACTTTTATTTAAAACATTTTTTTTTGTATATCTGACTTCAACGATTACAAACTGTGGGTGATAAATACGTCTGTACATTTAAAAACATACTAAAATTACACTTACCTAACAACCACGTATTTAAAGTGTCTGTTAGGAGTATATTCATATCAGTATAGTACGAGCAAGATATATAGTGTGACTTTAAAGCTTTAAAGCCAGCCGGCAACATACAAAAAAACTAAGGCGACTGATACATCAAGAGATTGAGTATACTTATTTTATTTTTACTTCCCTCGATAAAAGGGAAGTATTGTAATCGTGAAAATTTATATTTTCAGGTCCCTAAATTACGAAAAACATGTTTTCCCCATTCCGTCGGTCTGTCTGCCATCCGCCGTCTCTTGTCTGCCGTCTGTCTGTTGGTGCGATAGCTCAAAAACGGCTTAAGAGAAATACTTCAAATTTTGTATGCAGGTAAGGCTCCCTCTTGACTCAAAACCGGTTATACTTCCGATCAGATATATAAAGGGTGAGCAGTTAAAAAAACAATTATTTTTAAAAGTCAGCAGATTTCAACTAAAATTGGTTTCTGATAAAATTGGTATCTGATCAAAAATAACAGATCATAAATTACTTTTTAAAAATTCAAAATGACTTCCCTGTTTTTACAATTTAATGGTATGCTAAAATTGTAGGGTGTGATTCTTCAGGTCATTTTATGAAGAAAAGTTCGTCCACAACGGCTTTAATTTTTTGCTACAGGAAGTGGAAAATTTGTTTTTTAAAGAAATAATTTTTAATATCTCTGAAAATAGTTTGGATATAATTTTCAATTTTGGCATGTGTTAATAGGATATATAAAACCACATATTTTAGTTAGAAAATTTATTGTATTGCTCTACCAGTGGCGTCTCTACAAACATGTCATCTGATATTTTCTACAAAAAAAGTAGTGTGCCACTGATATTTTTCCATGTTGATATTTTTACTCATTCGACTGGTCAATTCTACATCAATACGGCATCTTGTATTTTTCTCGCCAGCCGCTCGGTTCTAGATTAAAATAATTAAATTGAATCGTCAATACTGCAAAATGAAGAAATTTTATTTTAATTGATGAACGATAAGATAAACGCCACTGGTGAAGCAATAGAATAACTTTTTGGCCTAGAGTATGTGGTTTTATATCCTATTAACACATGCCAAAATTGAAAATAAAAGTACTTACTCATCAAAAAATTAAAGCCGTTGCGGACATATGTTCATATGAACTTTTCTTCATAAAATGACCTGAGGAATCACATCCTACAATATTAGCATACCATTAAAAACACCCTGTGTAATTTATAAAAATAGAGAAGCTATTTTGAATTTTTAAAAAGTAATTTATGATCAGTTATTTTTGATCAGATACCAATTTTATCAAGAACCAATTTTAGTCGTAATCTGCTGACTTTTAAAAATAAATGTTTTTTTTATACTGCTAACCATGTATATATCTGACTAGAAGTATAACCGGTTTTGAGCCAAGAGGAAGCCTTACCTACATACAAAATTTGAAGTTTTTCTCTTAAGTCGTTTTTGAGCTATCGCGCCAACAGACAGACGGCAAACAACATACGGCAGACATACCGGCGAATTGGGGAAAACATGTTTTTCGTAATCTAAGGACCCGAAAACGTGAAAATCTAAATTTTCACGATTACAATACTTTTTTTGTATGTTGCCGGCTGGCTTTAAAGATTTAAAGTCACACTATATTTCTTGCTCGTACTATACGTAAATGTAAACGAAAGTTGTCTAATAGAAAAATGTTTCAAACATAACATAACATTTTACATTATTATTTACTGCAATTTCTTTTTATAGAATTCCAAGTAAGAACGAGGATGACTCATCTATATCCTTGCCAAGAAGGATTTACAACCAGATAATATAAACTCAAAGGATGAAGTTGAAAAGAACTTGTACACTCTTCACCAACAAGCTGTGATATACTTATTTATAGTTGGAAATATTTATTTTTTAAAATTATATTGTCTACTTATTTAAAGAAATTAATTTGAAATTTCTGAAAAGTGGGTGTGAATTGAGGATTTTAATAAATGCGTTGTACTGATTTTTATTTTTTTCTTAATTGGCTTATATCTAACATTTTGTAAAATCAAACACTGCGGCCTCTTGGGTCTATTGTATTCCCTGCTTTCCTGTATTCAGGTACGATCTTTGGAAAAAAAAATCAAACATACAATATGGATGATTTCCTAAAGCATATTAAATTTTTTATACATTTCATAAATTATTTCTGTGACATAGGTACCTATATTTTGATGTAAATTTCCCAATTTTTCTACTGCTCCACTGTTATATAATAATAACAATAATAATAATATTTATTATAATAAAATATAAGCAGTTTTTTGCTCTATTTGATTACATCACGACTGTGTTTGAAATGTAAAAAAAACATCATGCAAAACTTGAAACCTTCTACAAATCCACCTAAACAACAAAACCGTTAAAATTTAAGTGCACACGGGCCTGATGATGAAATAGCATATGAATGCCTTCCTCCCATGATACTATAAAAAGAAAGTATGATATTACGCCGATTGATTTTTCGTCACGGTGGCGTGGCATTTACGAATTTTGAGGTATCAGCTAAATGAAAACAGCACGCGAAAATTTAGTATATTGTGTCACAAGGGCAGAAAATGAGCTTTAGCAGTCCACGGCTATTAGCTGCATGAGCGAGTGAAGCGAAGTGAGGGCAGGTGATAGCTAAGGGCTGCTAAAGCGTTTTCTGCATGTGTGACACACAATTATTTTTCGCCTACCAAAAAAAAAAAACAAAGAAAAGTTCGTACCGTTCTCTTGACTTAGTAGGTAGTAAATTTAGAGAAACATTGTTCGCTTCCTCTTGCAAGTTTGGTGAAGTATTTGTAAATTCTTCGTCACTATTCATGTTCACTAATAGGCCTTTTCATCATGTGATGAGCGAAAGCGCAGCCGCCATGGTAAAATAGCGTCAATTCAAAAGTTTCGTACTGTTTTGATCAAAAATGGCTGGAAAAGCCTCTTATCTCTACATTCAAATCAATCATTAGAAAAAATCGTTGATGGTGATTTACATTTTTATAACTCTGTGGAAGTAAATAGTTGTGAGCAATTAAAAAGGTTCTTGAAGTGACGTGGACGTTCGAAACAAGGAAAAACATTTTGGTGATTAAGAGGTTAGGTTTCAATACATATTAACTGTGTAAAAAATTAATGAAAACAAATAATAATTATAACTCTATTCTAATTAATTATGCCAACCAACTATTAATAATTGCAAAAACATAAAAGTTAATCACGAGTATAATTAATAAGATAAATTATTTAAAATCTTAAGGATCAACATGACATTTTTAATAATATTACCTACGGTGTATACCGAAGTAGCATTTAATATTAAAAAATATTGTGTAATATCAGACAAGGAATTTCTTCTGTTAAACCACTTTCTCCATGAAAATGTAGTGAACAAATATAAAAGTATCTTTAGTAACATCATCCATCAATCGATCGAAAACCTTTATCACTTCGACCACATTTTTTCATTCATAATGCTCATTTTGAACATTTTTTAATATGTATTTTGCCTAATGATTGATAGTTTTTTACGATATTGCAGGCAAGTCTTTTTATAAAATAATAATCGTGTGTCACTTTTACATACTCATAACAATACCGTTTAGTTTTTCCTTTCCGTAAAGATAACAATTAATTGATTGCAAAAATTAATTTTTCAATTAAGACACTTATTACTTTACTTTTTTTTATACCATTTTGTAAACGAATACACTTAAAATTAATATTTATCGATTATAATTTTTTTCACGTGGACATTTTAACATGCTTGTTTACAAAAAACAGTACGAAAAAGACGGCTGATACTGACGCATGCGCACCAAAAAAAAATTGTGATGAAAAGTCCTATAGACTTACACCGACGTGTAATCAAAATTTATGTGAAACGTCAAAGTAAGCAAGTGACAGTCAAAGGTATCTAGATATCTAGTGAAAAACTACAAAATCGGGCTGTTATCAGTTTATAGCAGCCCATATTGAGACGATATGCGTTACTTTCGGTCTTATTTTTAGGGTTGATATGATCCATTTCCACATATGGTAGGCGAAAAAATTTTAATCTGTTCATGGCCAATTACACCACATCACAATACGTCATGCGCGAACTCGACGAAATTTCGTCGCCTAAGTATCATACCTATGAAATTTTTTGTATCATGTCTTCCTCCTTTCTCCATGGATCTCGTGTATCAATCCCCAATCTACTCAATTGTACGCGATCTTTCGCCTTTTAAATATCATTGGTAAAAATAATAATTATTCTTTAAAATATGTGGTAGATGTGATCGATGACGTCAAACCAACAAAAAAAGTTGGTTATCAAGCCATATTGCCAGATAAACGACATAGTGAAATAACTTCATCTTTGCAAATGTAATAAAAAGAGGAATTAAAGTGCAAAGTTCTGTTTGCACTTGATGCTATTTGGAATAAGTGAATCGCTGGACGAACCGAACTAAATTAGATCACTGAACTTCAATTAAACTTTGTAAATAGGTAAGTCTATTACAAAATGCGACATTTTACTTGGATATGATGGGCTATCTCAAGTAACACACTTTGTAACAAATCCTTCTGGTTTCGATTTTGCTACGAAGTCTTTAGTTTCTGGGGTACACCCCGGTAATAATATTACTACTTTCTATGGTTCTTTAAAAGTAACTTACCACACCAATACCAGTTATTGGAACTGTAAACACCCAAATTCAAAGGAACATTGTAGTTACTGAAACTGTTGCTCTATAGTGGCAAAAACTATATAGTACCAGTGAATCAGTTGCTGCTACTCATCAGTGCCACTAATATGCCTAAATAAAGAACTTCTGTACATAGGCAAAAAGTCAAAGAATATAATCTCTATTCGGATAAAACAAACGTTCCGAGTAAACAAAATAGCCCCTTAACCACAGCACGATACACACAAACCCGACTGCTATTATTGGCCAGCCCAGTGATTCGGTTTTGAATGTTTCCCTACCCTCTAGCTCAGACATATTCGACCTTTTTTCCTTCGGGCCACATACGTATGTTTGCTATGTTCCACGGACAGCAATATCTTTGGATTATGACCCTTTAGTTAGGCCACCCATTTAAAATTTGTTAGTGGGAACCTCTAATAAAAAGACCACAAAACAAATATATCCCATAGGGTTACTGCAAAAACAAGACAACTTACATTTTTAGAGTTTCGAGAAAACGCTCTTCAAAATTTTAAAATGAAATAAAAAATCCGTAAAAGCACTGTTTAATAAACAATAACTCCAATAAAAAAAAAATAATTTAAAACAAGACTTTACAAATATAAACAAAGAATCTATCGATTAGAAAAAAAAAAAAGACACAATTTATTTTAGCTAACTACAAAATCTCTCTATCGTGTCGAGTTCGCACACAAAAATCCATGTGCATTGTGCAAGTCATAATATTCAATGTCTGTGTCACACTAGTATGAAGAGTCTTCATAGTCACTAGTTTTGTAAAAGGTTCAGGAAATGTCTCTAACATTATTTGATACAAGCAGATTGTGAAATTCATCAGGTGTAGTAAATCTTTTTTCTTGGCATTACTTACATTATTTGGCACTTTTTTTATAAGTATTTTCAGAGCCTTTTTTCACCTCTGCCGGTATAGCTTGGGTTTTTCAAGCAATGCGAAAAGCTGGTGTTTCGATGATTTAAGAAATGCCTTTTGTCATTTTAACGTGCAAACAATATGCAGACGAGCGTTAGCATCCCCACTCGTTACGGATTGACCAATCACTCTCTACAGCTTAACCAATCAATCATTTACCATGGCTATTCGGGCATCATGTGTTATCATCCATTGATTTTTGAAGGTTAGCTGTATCGTGAAAAGAAAGGGTGACGTAATCACCTTGTCGATTTCGGACCATACGAAAGAGACCAGAGACGGCTCTAGGCAAAACAAATGGCTTGAGCAAAACACCGTCATAAAAATAAATGTTATGGCCTTTATCTTGTTTTGACAGAAACACTATTAGGAATCGAACTAAACACATTTAGCAAAAATAAGTTATCTGTATCTTACCTGGTTTTGGTAGACACACTTAGCAATTGAACACAATGTGATTGTATTTCGGTATAAAACGTTTATTTAAAAATTAGCATGATATTTAGCACAGCGATCGATGAATGTATGTTTTCGCGAGTTTCGCTCAAGATTTAAAAAAAAACCTATAGTTTTAAAAACACCTTCTTAATAATAGTGTTTCGGGCAGCAAAAAATCTTGGAGGGCCGCACGCGGCCCGCAGGTTGAGTATAGCTGCAGCTGAATGTGCGTTTAAGTTAAATAGAGATTGCACTGTAACATTTGGGTAGTTACTTATCATATTATTGTTACTCTATAGTGGCAAAAACTACCGGTGAAACCGTTATACCCATCAGTATCACTAATATGTCTAAATAAAGTAACTGGGTACATAGAGGCAAAAAAATGGGCCCAGAATAGTCCAATGACCATCACTATATAGGGACTTTAAGTATCGTGACATTTTAGTGGCAATAAGGGTAGGGAAATAGTTGTTCTTGGTACTTTACAGTTTTTGACTTGAAAGGCCACTATAGAATTTCAGGACCTTTATAGTGGAGGGCTTAACTTTATAATACCTTTGTTTGCTAAAATTTAAAAAAAAGATTTTAAGCAAAAATAGACTTCGTTTCCCAAATAAATATTTAAATTTTGTAATCGTGCCTTTTTAAATTATTTAATTAAAAGATTACAAAAAAAAGGTTATTTTGAGAGCGCGTTGAATTTTATTATTTATTAGGTCCACTTATATTAAAAAAGTAAACAGCATTTGAAAAAATGGCTATAGAAGTACTTTAAACAAGCACCTAAAGAACACATATTTTTGTTATAATATACAGGATGTCTCATTAGTGCGTAATTGCTCGATATTTCGATTTTTGTTATAGACAGGCAAATAAGTTATAAATGGATTTGAAAAGAACATACTTTAAAAATATTTTTAGATATACAGGGCGTTACGCTTTTGCCTGGTAAATAAAAACGCTGATTACTGTTTTATTCTTTTTACTTTTGCTAGATTGGCTATTTTTCCGATAATATTAATCACTTTGGTCATTTAAATGCAAAATAAAATACTATAAAATCTTTAAGTGTGAAATATCGTTGAACTAGGATTTTAGAGTACAATCAAAACTGAAATAATATAAAGATTGTTGTATTAAAAAACCAAAATGGCTAATATAGGAAAAACAGTTGTATTTAAAAGCTTCCTGTGATTTTTTTGTTTACTTACATATATTTTGTAATTAAAAACAAAAAATGTATTTTTATTAAGGTGAATAAACTATGTTTTAGTGTTTTTATTATACTCTTCACACAATAGTCTGTGAAGAGTATTATAGATTTACTTTCTAGAGACCAAAATTTTTAATAATGATAAAAATTTAAAAATGTTTGTACCAAAATCCTTCGCATCAAATTTTAAACAACTTTTTAAAATGTCCGACCGTCCGTTTGTCAGATGTCACGCTTTTGTCCGCTGATAGGTCAAAAACGAAAAATGATATCAACTTGAAAATTTCAGGAACAATCAAGCTATACTCGTATACGGAAAGAAACCTATTGATTTTGAAAAAAGTTGATAAAAATGGGGGGCTGAAATTAAAAAAAAAATAAATCAAAAATGGAAAACGATATCAACTTTAAATTTTTAGCAAAATATCAAGCTCTATAAGAGGGCGAAGCCTATTGATTTTGAAAAAAGTTGAATAAAAATTGAGATGTTGAAATTAAAACAAAATCAAAAATAAAAAACGATATCAACTTGAAATTTTTAGCAAAAATCGGGGTGGTTAAGAGGGATTGAAAGATTTTAAAAAATCAGTGTTGCAGATTTGTTGTTTTCCTTTTACCCCTATACTTGTTCCGCCATTGAACATAGAGATTGTCATTGATATACAATTATTAATTTGTCAAATAAACAAAATACAGAAAAAAATATAATTTTCCCTTTTTCAATATACAGTCCATTCAAAACTACAATTTAGGTTGAAACACATTCATCTCTAGTTTTTGGTCCTTCGAGCCGGATATAGGCATATCTACGCAAAATACATTCATTCACAATTCAATCAAGACATTGGTGTTTGGCGTGAAGCTGAAACACAAGGCGAGGCTTGGCGATCAGCTCTGCTAGTCAGGTACAAAATCAGACAAAGGGCGAGTGAGTCTTATTCTGATAATCGTTGGTTCTTCATCATGTCAGCCAAAACGAAATCAAAAGACAAAAGTCTTGTTAATTAAAAAAAAAATGCTATATCTGCAAAAATTGAGCTCTTTAAATCATGGTTAGAGCACAATACAAATCCAAAGGTATTTAAGCTAAAAATCAGACGATCTACTTTAGAAATGCACTTGATAGAATTTGAGAATATACAAATAGAAATAGATGCAATTACAGTGGTTGTTGATGACGAACAAAGGGTTTTCTTTGAAGGAATTTATTATAAAACGTTATCACATACGGATGAAATTTTGGAGAAAGTTAATGGTAAAACAGATAGGTTGCCGGAAATAAAATTACCACCGATTATTATTCCAATATTTGATGGTAGTATTCATAAATGGGACAATTTTCATGATCTATTTCAGTCATTAATTGAGAATAATGTCACACTGACAACAGTTCAAAAAATTCAATATCTAAAATGCATTGAATGCATTAAAAATTGTATCAAATGTTGACACTTCAGAAATAAATTACAGAGTTGTTTTGAATTTATTACAAAAACGTTATAAAAACAAAAAAAGGGATTAAATCATGTTAAGTCACTTTTTGAGCTACAGTCAATTCAATAAGAAAGTTATACACAACTTTGACATTTTCTAGACACGTTCCAAACACATATTGGTGCCTTAACAGCAGTAGGGTTATCAAAAAACAATTTTATATTTCACAATAACAGGTTCAGTTCGCGCCTGATTCGAGATATGTAAACCTGTATCTTAGAGACGAGGGCATAATGAATTCATTTCGCCCGCTATTATGCCCCCGTTTGTACTGTCTCAAAAAACTATTTATCATTAAGAAAGACTTGTTATAAATAATGAACTTTAATTAAAATGGTTTCCTGATTTTATAAAAACTACAATTTCAATCCTAAAAACTCTCATTTTTCTATTGTTCCTAATTTCAAAATGTAAACAAACTGAATATTTGACGTTTATTTCAAAACTTTCTGTTATGTTTTATATAAATTTAATCAAAGCGTGCTACGTTGCTATGGTTAGGTGTACTTGTTTATTTTATTTCAGGAATTGTTTTGCGCGTTGATATTTGTCAAATAGTTTACACTTTTTTATAAAAATTTCATGTAACAATTTTGTGAGAAAAAATTTAAATTGAAGTGAAATATAGAATCTTGTATGCACCACGGGCGTAAATAGATGATTATGCCCATCGGATATCATCCATCCCTCGGGCCAAAGGCCCTCGGGCTGGATCTGTTATCCTCCGGGCATAATCATCCTTATTACGCCCTTGGTACATAAATAGCTATTAGATTTAATCTTGATTTCACTTTTGTCCTCAAAGTTGGATAAAATCACGCTAAAGCAGTGGGCCTCAAAGGTTTCACAGAATCAGGATTTACCCATTACAAAAAAAATGTAGCATTAGGTCAGAGTCAATCTTCTCAAGTACATTCACAGTCACATACGAAGAATCTGAGGCCAAATGCAGAAAATTTGCATAAACAAAACTGATAATAGACCACATCATTGTAATTCCTTTATTGCTACACAAGCGAGTTCACAGTCAAATAAAACTTGTGTTTTGCTATAAGCCACATAAGTTTTATACATGTGCAAAATTTTTAAAAATGACAGTCATTGATCCAGTAAATGAAGTGAAAAAATTGAAGCTTTGTTTGAATTATCTTGCAAGTGATCATTTTTCACCGCAGTGTAAGTATGGTTCATGTAAAAAATGTAATAAAAAACCCAACAGTTTGTTACATATAAATAACAGTTCCTTTACCACTTAAGCTTACCCATATAAAAATAGGTTGGACCCTATGAAATACCAATATTTGCCCTTTTACCCCTTAAGCTTGCCTTTATATATATATATATATATACAAGATATTTTACAAATATTTGGGCAATTTACCTTTTTACTCCTAACATCAAATTTAGATACGAGTTCCATTTTGGCGTTTCATTAAAGATGATACAAAACGCATCGCTACTTTCCATCCTATTCGAGTAAGATCCATATTTATTTCATATTAAAACTATTATTTTCACTATGGCACTTTAAGTTACAATAGTCAACTACTAATTTGAATAAATATTTTAAATTTAAAAAAATTGGAAATGATTTATTTAACACGGTGAAAGAACTAAAGAAAAAACAATTACCTATCATCGTTGGTTGTGTTAATTTATTTTTCTAATCAAGTATATATGAAAATTGGGAATTTAATATATTGTAGATCGTAAATTGAATGTTAAAACTTTTCTGAAATAAGTTTTAGAATAATTTAAAAATTCGGAAACAAATCTCAAAAATCCCCCCACCAATTATTAAGATCATTGCCAAACCCCAAAGGTGAAAACACCACATACTTGGAGATTAAAAAAAAATGTTTTTTTTTGCATTTTAGGCAACGTAAAAGTCTTAAAAAGTGGAGATAAGAAAATATTTTCATCTGCATGAATGCAATATTGAGACCCCATAGGAAGAGCCTCAGTAATTCGTACTTGTGGGACTAGACGCTTTTAACATATTCTTGAAAAAACATCAAATTACTCGAATGGCCATAAAAAGACCAATAGGTATAAATTATGAATTATGGTTTAAAACAGGAACGGTTTCTCCATTGGTTCATTTGTGCAGTAAATGCCCAATTAAATTTCATAAAAACGCATAAATAACAAAAATATAATTTCAATTTAAATATTTTTATTTTTCATACATGTTTATTTCTATTTTTTGGTACGCCACTGCGCTCTGGCTAGTCGGGGCTATCGGTACACTATGCAATATAAAGAGGAGATGCTATGACGATGCTAAACTGTCGCATCTTTGCATTACATTTTAACGTCAATATCAAACTCGAAATAGTGTAGCTGGTCAGTTTTGATGAGAAAAAATGCAATTTTTCTTTAAATAGCTTTATGATATAAAATTATTTTCATTCCGTCAGTCTTAAATTACACTTTTCCGTCACTTGAAGTGCGTCCATTTGTCATATCGCAAGATAGTGTTTATGTCGTCTTTACTTTATTCTATCTCGATGACTATGCTGATTGAGCACGAGAGGTTTTCGCAAATGACTGTAGTTAAAAAGAGACCGTTTAAAACCACGCTATTTTGTGCATCGCACATAAACAAGGCATGACGATAGGGCGGGTCATACGAACCTTTCCAACAAATTCTAAATACATTATAAGTAAAACCCCATAAGACAATTTTAATTGACTAGATTTTTATGTAAGAAAGAAACTGTATACGATTTATCATAGATACTGTTAAATAGGAGAACGAAAAAAAAATTTTACATACATGTTTCAAACACTATTTAATAGAACGCAATAAATAAAATTTACAAAAATAAACAGAAATGCAAATTAAAATAAAATTTGTATTCAAACTAAACTTTTATAATTATTGTTGTACAAAAATAAAGTGCTATGGACTATAATAATAAATGTAAAATTAAAAACCTATGGCACTTTTTTAATACTTTTTTTTTTATAAAATTGTAAAAGCATAAAAAAAACTTATTCTATAGTTAGTTCGTGCCTATCTTCTTCTGCAAATCTTTTGTTAATTTTTGTAGCCCAAGCTTCATATTCAGCTTCCTGTAAAAAACAAATGTACATATAATGTACCATTGTATAATAAAAACATTGCATACCTCAGTTTTCGTCATTGTGTCTTTTTTCTTTTTCTTAGATATTTTTTCTTTATCAGCTCCATCACGCATGCGTTTCTTCTGGTTTCCATAACGAATAGTTGGCTATTTAAACAAACAAAACAATTAAATATAATGTATGACGAGGGAAATATTGTTATAGATACAAGTTATAAAAGTAATTATAAAAAATCGACTTCAAAATTGAATTTTGAACTAATTTATATGGGACAACCCCTAAGGTGGTTCAAACAAAAAAAGAATAATAGAAATCGGACAACGTGGTAAAACATTATCGCTGAGCATATATAAAAACAAATATATTCCGACGAATCGAGAACTTCCTACATTTTTGAAGCCAGTAAAAAAATTCGAGAGACGCTAAAATGGTGGTTCCCATACAAATAAATGACAACGTATAATAATTGATCCAAATTTGAAATGGGCATTATATCCTACCTCTCTTTTATACAATAAAAAAGTGCTTTGTATAAGAACTAAGAACATTATATTATCTATCTTCCTGTACCTTTATTTATGGAAAGTCTGAATTGAGATATTTATTATTTGCAATAAATATCAAAAGAAGTATACATTTTTAAATAATTTGACATTTAAGAGCCATTTACATATCACAGTTGACATCTTGATACTTGACAGGCACAGCCAAGCATTATTTTGATTTTTGCCAAATAAAATGGCCTGTTAATTAATCTATGGCGTTGGGACAGAGAAACAGTAAATTTGATGAAGGTGTTTTTGTGGCTAGGAGCGAAATAGTAGTACGCCTAATAGCACCACCATAAAAAAGTCATTTTTAAGAAACTGCTTATATATTTTTCATAAATTGGCAGGCTACTAATTTCGAATAAAATTAGCCTCCAAAATGGCTATATGGTTGCAAGTATGAAGGTCGCAACCCGCCTTAGAAATTTCACCTTTACTATCAACAGCTGTTGTTTGACAGGTCGTTACGAATGTTTGCAATTTATGGAATGTAAAGAATGTTAGACATTTTGAAATTCCTAAAATGTCACATAAGGAATGCATAGGCGGATTTTAAGAAAATTGTTATTAAAGTAGTTAGGATGAATCGAAAATTCTGAAAATCAATAGGGTTCTAAGTTAGAAGTAATTATTCAAGAAAATTAAAACCGCAAGTCAATCAGAACTTTCGTTCTAGAGTTATCGTGCCGGCATACATACATACAGATGACCAGACGACATTTTTTTTTTGGATTTTCGGACTCAGAATGATCAGAAACATGAAAAAAGTTTTAAAAAATGAGGGTCAGAAAATTTTTTTGTCTACACGAATGCAATACTGAGGCCCCATAGGAAGGGCCTCAGTAATATACAGTTCAAAATCTATAAACAAATCGATGGGTTCAAAAATAAAAGTACTTACCAATTTGATGCTATAATCAATATTTTTTTCACCTTCCGGGTCTTCGAATAAGTGCTGATCAGAATCAGTAACATCATCATTTTGATCGTTTAAAATAGGAGGTAAGAGATCTACGCGTCCTTCTTTTTGTTCATCTCTCTTTTTTTCTAACGCTTTTCTATTGTAATATCGCGGTACCAAATTTTCATTCTCTTCATTACATGGGATAATAGACATATTAGGAGATTCTAAATCACTCGTTATAACTTTTCTGGGTGTTGAAACAATTTGATTAGGTTGAATTTCCATTAAAGGTTTTCTTGGCAGTTTGGCAAATTCGAAATCTTCGTAATCAAACAAACTAAGTCTCGTTGGTTGTTCGACATGTTCTCGTGTGGTTTCAACAAAATGTAACATGGTTGTTTGTACTGGAGGTTTCGGTAAGGCAGGTTCAGGTAGTTTATTAATGTTATTAGCAGAAAGGTTTTCTATTCTCTTAACAAATTCATGGTCTATAACCATTTCTTGTTGATTGCATGGTAAGCCATTCTTCTTTATCTTCAAAATGTGGGGGTTGCGTCTATAATAGCCTTGGAAGCGCCATGGTAGCCGCATCAGCTGAAATGATTTAAAACAATACAAATAATGTTCCACATTTTTTTAAGAGGCAATTATTTAACTAAAAAAATATGTATGCTACTTCAAAACACACAAACATTACTAAGAGCTAGCGACCGCTAGTTGATACCTCCGGCTGGAATTTTGTGAAGTGGTAAGCGGGACCATCAGGAAGTGTCATCTGCAAGGATTTAGTTCAAAACCCCTGCAAACGAGAGGTCAGAGAACTAAAAGTTGTAAAAAATATCGGCTAAAAATTTACAATACACATGTTTGATTAGATAACTCATATGACACGACTCGTTAGCTCAGCTTGTTAAGCATTCAACATGCAGTCAAATTTGCATTTCGCGACGCGGTTCAATTCACAATGAAAGTAATATTTTATTTTGAAAAAATATGAAAATCGAAAAAAATACGTACTATTATTTTTTTTATTAATTTTAAATGCATTTTATTTAGTTTAATAATAATTATACTAATATGATTGAATAATTTAAAAATTCGGAAACAAATCTCAAAAAACAATAGCGTGTCAGACTTTGGACACCATAGCAAATCTAAGGTTTTTGTTTTTTGATCAAAACCTAATGAAAAGACAGAATCGGAAAGTTCTGAATGCTCTCCAAGAGTGAAGCATGATTAGAGACATATTTTCTAGATAAAATTTCAGAAACTTGCTGACAGTGAAATAGAAGACTAGAAACGGAATCTGAGCTCGTCAGGAGATCGTCTACGTAAACATCATTGGCTATAATTTTGGATGCTTGAGACATCGTTTCAGAAGAATCCTCAGATAATTGGAGCAAACACCTAGTGGCCAAAAAACTCGCTGAAATAGGTAACGGTATTCAAGGAATAGGTATGTGGATGTTCAGAAGGATCCTTTGTTCATAAAATGCATTGCAAATACCTTTGGCAAGGACAAACTAGTACTTGCCTCTATATTTTCGCGATGTCACCAGAAACGACGTAAGAATGTTGTGTGAATCTTAAGAGGATGGAAATTGTTTTGAACTACAGGTCCAACAATTTGGATTTGATTTGATTTGATTAAGAGAGAAATTAGAAAATGTAGGATAGGAAGCGTCAAATACTACCCGAAGCTCAATAGAAAGACTTTCCTCTTTCAAAACACCATGATGGGGAAGATAACATTTTAATGAAGATTCATCAATGATTGTTGACATATGACCCATAGAAATATACTTCTCCATGAAGGAAGTGAATCGCTCCTTCATAACTAATAGTATCAACAGAATCCTTAGGAGGAATTTTAATGATGAAACGACCTTCGCAATTTCTACGATAAGTAGTTTTGAAGTGTTCTTCGCATTTTAGTTCTTCTTTAGAAAAGGGATGACTAGATGAACATTCTTCAATTTCCCAAAAATGCGAGAGCTGATTGTTGAGCATAGACATTGAAAAATTGCAGAAAACCCTTTGTAATGATTGAGACTTGGGCAATGGACCAAATATAATCCACCCAAGATTCATTTTCTGCAGGATGGGCAATTAATGTCCCAATTTTATTTGATATATGCATAGAAGGTTCCAAAAGAGATCTGCTTCTATTAGAAAATTTATTTCAGAGGGTTGATGAAAATTCGTATCGTATCTGAATAATATTAGAGGAAATATTTAACGATGATATATCTATTTTAAAACTTAAAATTTGATCACAATTTTTTTCTAATACCAAGCAAGATACTGAAGTTAAAAATGATGAATGCAATGACTGGATTGATAACGATTATTTGCGTTTTACGCTTAAAAAGACTTGAGAGATTCCGACCACAGAAATGTCGGTAGGTTGCATGAGAAGACCTAATTTACTAGCTAAGACTGAAGTAATAACATGTGATTAAGAGCCACTATCAAGCGGTGCTCTGCAATTATGTGCAACTCCAAAGTTGTCACGAACCTGAACAACCCCTGTGGATAACAAGTAGTATTTTCGAATTTGGCATACAAAACGTTGGTGACTTGAGGGCTTGACTCGATATGAGTAGATGGGTCACTATCGTTTTCTTGGTCAATGTGGATCATTGTATGAAGTTTTTTTAAAACATTTTTTGCACTTGCCATACTTGCATGTTACATTTAAAAGACCACGATGTAGACAATTGATACATAAATGCAATTTTTTTATTTGAGCTATTCGCATTTGAACTGGAAGTTTGTGAAATTCACTACAAGCAGATATTTTATGAAGGCTCTTGCAAAGGGCGCAAGAGACGCGATTAGATTCGCTAGTTAGGAAAGTTCTGATCGTAGTCGATTTGGGTTTAAATGTGTTAAGAGTTTGTATATTGTGCCATTTAATTCTAATTTTTCTAAAATATCTGTGACATTAAGAAAATCAAAGCATGGTGCGATGCCAACTATTTGCGTCTTAATATGGGAAAAACTAAAATGCTAACCCTTAAATGTTCCCTACCAAATATTCAGTTGGGAAGTCATATTATTGAATGTACTGACACAATAAAATTTCTGGGAATTAATTTAGATAATAATTTGAAATTTAGAAACCATATAGAATTGCTAAACAGAAAACTTTCTTCTGGATGTTTTGCAGTCAGAACTGTGGCAAAAGAACTAGGTTTTAAGGCAACAAAAAGTGTGTATTACGCCCTAGTAGAGTCCCATTTGAGATATGGAATTGCATTTTGGGGAGGTTGCAGCCGCGAATTATTCAATACTGTTTTTTGTCTGCAAAAGAGAGCAATACGATTTTTATGTGGAATGAACAAGCTTGAGTCATGTCAGCCACATTTTATTAGACATGAAATTTTAACATTAACATCGTTGTTCATTCTTGAAACCACTTGTATTATACATAAAAATAAATCGAAATATGCCAATACTAACGCTCGGCTAACGCGACAAGTTGACAACCTGCGGTTGCCCATACCCAAATCTGAACTGGTAAGGGGCTCTTTCATTTATAATGGGATTAAAATGTACAATAAGTTGCCAAATGATATTAAATCGACGGAAACGGTCACAACATTTAAAATACTGCTTAGAGATATGTTGATGACAAAAGCATATTATGCTTTGACGGAATTTTACAATGACTCTTAAATCGTTGTGACTGTTTGAACGTACATGTTTTTGTATTTATATAATTTTATCGATGTTGTGTTATGTATTTGTAAATAACCTCTAATTAACGTTTTAATACAATTTTTAAATTTTTATGCATGTAATTGTTAGTACTACATAATAATTATATTTATAAGTGTTTGTCTATAAGTTCTCGTAGCTTTGACAATAAACATATATTGATTGATTAATTTGTAAGGAACTCTAAAAAATCATTAAGATTACGATTTACACCAGTGCAATTCTTTTCCCAATCCTTTGCTGTGTCGCTATCAATTATTAGTTAGTCCCAGTGTTTGACTGGCTCACCCAAAGTCTCCAGTAATCTGAGATGGCTGCATAATCTATCAATTAACTGGCGAAAATTGTTACAATCTACATGAGCAACGGATTTTAGGTTAAACATAGCTTTAATATGATTATGCTGCAATGTTTATTTGCATACCTATCATGAAGAAGTTGCCAAGCCGCAGCAAAGTTTAATGAGGAGACTGGCAGAGAACCGATAATTTTTCCGCATTTCCTATTAAGCAGGCTTTTAGATAGTGAAATTTTTGAATAACTTTCACGTTGCTATTTTGAATGATCATAGACTCGAATGAGTCATGACATTCTAATCAATTTTCGTAGTTGCCAGTAAATTTAGGTAGTTGAATAGTTGGTAATTTTAAATCAGAATTGTCAAAATTTTGATTAATAATTGAAGAGTGGAAGTAACAAAGGAGATAAGTGCCAAAAATTATGATTTTGAGTTAGGCTCAGAACGGTGCTATGTGCCACTGTTTATGTCCTGACATAAGGTATAAGTACTAAGCAATTTTTTAGAAACCACTCGGCCGTTAATGGTATCTTGTTTCAGACTTTCATAATCGGTACTGGCTATTAAAATGTTAGTATTGTCTGCATAATTTGTTAGTGTCATACAAATCTATCACATTTGATAGGTCATTAATGTAGAGGACCTAAGATACTTCCTTGTGGTACACCTATATTTATCGATTCTTGTCCTGAGAAAAAGTCCATTATTTGTTTTCGGACCTTGCATTCAGATATGAATTAAACCAATCATATGCTATTCCACATACGCCAATAACTTTTTTTAATAGTAATTGGTGATTTACACAATCTAAGGTTTTTGATAAATCTAGAGATACAACATGCACAATACAGCCATTATCCAGGTGATGTAGAATGAGTAATACAAAAGAAAAAATTGCTGTAGATTTGCCCCTCATGTTGAGTAAAGGTGATAATTACATTTGTAGTAAGAAACACACTGAGACGTTTACTCATTGCAATTTCAAAAAAAATTTGGGAAGCTGGTTAGCAGGCTTATAGGTCTTTAGTTTTCTATTAAGAATGGATCTCTTTTGTTTTGAATAGGTCTCACCACTGCAGATTTTAGTTTTGATGAGAAATCACCATTCTTAAAGAAATTACTTATTATGTAACATAACGGCTCAAGAATATAGGAAGCAACATTTTTAATAAGCAAATTATGAATATCATCTTTACATGCAGACAGCTTGTTTTTTAAATTTTTTATTATTTCCGATATGGGTTGCCCATTTAGAAACCTTTTTAGAATGTCTATATTTCATCTACTGAAGCTGTTATATATAAATAAGTTTTTAAGATACTGTGGATACAAATTGGAATTAAGCCGTGAGGAATATGAGTATGAGGATATACAGGAATCATTGAATTTAGAATCGCTGAAATTTCGTAGATTAACTGTTGACCTTGTTGTATTATTTTAAATTGATTTCAGGTTTAACTAACTGCAGCAACATGCTTCAACTTATTCAATTCCGTATTCCACAAAGGTGTACGAGAAACAAAGACTTGTTTATTGTGCCCTTTCAATCAACAAATTATGGCTATTTTAGTCCTTTGTCAAGAACAGTGATGTAAAATTAGCGTAATTTATATTTTTGGTAATTTACCGTGGTAATTTACGGATTTTAATTACCAAAATTAATTACCATGGTAATAAATTTGTGTCGTAAATTACTGTGGTAATTTACCGTAATATATTTTATACACATACATGACTAATAATGACTTCGAAATAAAATTAAGGTCTGTGTCGAACATAGAATTGTTTCATTTGTTTGTGAATAAAACTAATTATTTGTTATTAAAGATAATTTAAATTTAGGTTTAAGTAATACAAAACATGAAAGAAAACAGAACATCAAATGACATTTTATTGTTTGTGCAGGTGCTTAATCTAAAAAAAAAAAAACAAGTTCCTCGTACTTTGTCTAAGAAAATTTATTTAAATTTTATAAGAATTATATGATTATGTTTTATTAATTATATTATGTATATGTTACGTTGGCATTTCACAATGAGCTGGACTAAATGAGATCTCTAAATCAACTATTTTAACTAGTTCAGTTTCGCTATCTACTTTAGACCAGTCGGATTCATATTCAGATTCAGACTCCAAAGAAGATTGTAATGAACTGGATGAACATTCCGCTATATTAAAATTTTATCTGATATAAACTTTTTTTGGGCCCTTTCATTTGTTAGTCGATTCCTTTTATTTTTATTGACATTTCCATACGTTAATAAGGTTTGTTCTGTGGCAGCAGTTGATGGTGGGCAGTTTAATACTTCTACAGCTACTTTGCTTAACTTTGTTGTTGAACAAATCGATTTCCACCAAGTCACTGCTGACAGTTTATCCATTTTTTAGACTGGTTCATACAAAGTCTTTAGCAAATAGGGCTCCTTTAGATCTATAAATGGCAATACTTTTCTGCAAGTAAATTCCAGCTAGCTGTCATGTTTCTTTCATTGTCTGTTGTAATTGACATATTTTTTTCTAAGCCTATTTCATCAATTAATTCTGATATAATGTTGCACATGAAAATTGCTTCATGGCGAGCTGCTTTCGAATCTATTTTATATAACACAGGCTCAGGTGTGGTAAGAATAGGATTACCATATTACAAAATACAAAATCCGAACAAAATAAAAAAACTTCAACTAGAAATAGTTACTATATGTTTTATTTTAAAAAATAGCTACATACCATCAAAAACTAAGAACAAACAGTTCCTCAGTTACAAAATCTTGAAATTACCGTAAGGAGGACATTAACTATAGATTCATTGTGAATATTAGACCAACCATCAATTTGAATCCCTACAGTCTTAGCAGTATAATTTTTTTTATTCACGGACTTTTTTACAAGATCATATTCACTGTTTAGTAATTTATTTGATAACTGACGCCTTGAGGGAAGTTTTAATGAAGAGCAGTTATTCAGTGCTTATTTTCACTGAAGTTCGGTGTCGCTTTCGCGAAATATGGTAAATTACAAGAAAATGCCGTATATAATGGTAAATAATGTAAATGTTTTACAACAAAAATCGGTAATTTACTTTGTAAATTACGAGTAAATTACTGTAATTTATTTCTGATTAATAACGGTAAATTACCACGGTAATTTATCGGTAATTTACCAGTTTACATCTCTGATAATGGTAAATAACGGTAAATAATGTACATTTTTTACCACTAGAATCGGTAATTTACTTTGTAAATTACGAGTAAATTACTGTAATTTATTTCTGGTGAATTACGGTAAATTACCACGGTAATTTATCGGTAATTTACCAGTTCACATCTCTGGTCAAGAATGGTCAGAAGGGCCGATGAGTTGAATATCGATTTTTCTGTCAATCTATATTCTTTTAAAAAAACAGAAATAGATCTCAATAAATTTGTATTATTATAGTATGTAAATATTTGGCTAGACACTGTATATTTTTCTTCTATAATGGGGTTTTCCCGTATAATAAATAAATCATTCATTCCTTGTCCATGACTTTTTTTTAAATATTATATAAAACTTTAATTAGAAGTTATATTGGATTTGAACGCCAAACCCTGTGAATGCAAACTTAGCACCCTACCTCTGCACCATCTAAACAATTGATATAATTTCTTTAATACTGATAATTATATTTGTTATAAATAATTTTATTAAAATTTATAACATATTTGTAAATATACTCGAATATCTTGTGGAATGTTATTATTTTTCAATTCTTTACAAGAATCACTCATTTTTAATTATATTTAATCTCACTAACTAAAAAATAATAGTAGCCTGGTCTGCAAATATGAACTGTGATTGGTGGGTTTCATATACATACAAGTGTCCTTAGTACATAGAAAGGATATGAAAATATCCTTTTATCAGAACACAATGGGCTACTTTTTCATAGAATACATAATATCCATGTGGGCATAGAAAACATTTTTTCTTTTAATGTAGGCCATGACCAAGCAAGTCATGTCCTTGATAACTACGTATGGTTATGAAATACATCTGAACTGACACTTCAAAAGTATATTCATGCGTGAATTTTTTCAAGGCCTACTTTAGAAACAATTTTTGTGGATCACTCCTTATTTCACTACTTCAGAAAATAATTTCCAAAAATTGGCAAGAATCATCCTCTTTGAAAGCACTATATCTGTATGTATTAGATTCGACCTAGTTGAGACTGTAGGCCGTATAGCCATCCCTACCTCTAACTATTCAGATCTATTGTGGATATCTTTTGATAATTGGTTAGAGTACTTTGCCTAGTTTGGTCTTTCCTATTGGTTTATTGATAATTTTTTATTTGTCATACCTACTTAATTAGATTTAATCAAAGCATTTTATCCATCAACAAAATGAAAGTTATAATGAAAGAAAAGTGAAGTGCGGAAATTAGTTTAGATCTGAAAACTACCTAAATTCAATTTTTTTTAAATTATGAAAATGAAAAATCGCCAATTCCCATACGAAGTTATGCACATTACACCCTCATATTCGAGAATACCCATCAAGGAGAAGTGACACTAACTGTCGGTGCCTTTGATAACAGCTGGGCCTTTTTCACTGCATGAATATTATCAATACACAACTTAATACTCTGAGAAAACCTGCTTATTTTCTACAGTGAGCGAAATAGCTTGGCAAATTAACTGAAATCACTGTTATAGTCCACGTGCAAATGTTATAATGTGATTTATTCACATTAAGGTAGTTAGGGTAAATAATAGCAATGGTGAGATTTCGGCACCAAAATATAATTCCTTTATTTGATATAAAAGTAAAAGATATTTATTATTTTATAATTATAAGATTTGTTCAATATTTGGTTAATTCATGGTTAAAAAGTAAAAAAACCCCCATATTTAGATTAAATTAATTACCCCTTTCTTACACAAATAAAATTAAGGGTACCAAAAAAAAATTAGGTAACAATTAAAAAGACATTAAGTTTGAGCTTTTAACTAAGTATTTGCAAAGTGCATATTTTCAAAGCTTTTAGGTTAAAAAAGTACTTACATATTTTAAAAATTTTTGATTTATATTAGATTAAAAGGACTTTCAATTTTATTACACATTTCTATGGAAACAAATGTTTTCTCACAAAGATAAGCTAGATGTCATTAAAGGATTAAGTATTAAGGGTTGGATATCTGGCCCGGCTATCATAGACGCATTTTTATAAATAGTACTTATTTAAGTATTTACCAATATTTCCAAAATCAAATCCAGTATGATTCATTCATTAAATGTAAATATACAGAGTTGGTTAAAATGGGAGAACATATTTATATTGGCATAATTGTAACTTAGCCATAATAAAGGGGTTTTGACAATTTTAACCAATCCTAACTGAAACTACTGAAAGACCTTTCTCAAGGAAACACGAGGATTAATTACATTTTTTATTTATAATGTTAAAATAAAATAAAATAAACAATAAATTTATTTAAAAGAAGACAAACATATATTTCATAAAATCCAATGCCTACCAAAAATAACTAAATCATCATACTTAATATTTATACATGTGATAAAATTCTGAGTTTCCTAATAACTTTTTTGGCACATTTTCTATCTGTATTAGAATACCTAAGCCTGTAAAGAATCTTCATCTTATTACAACATAAAACAAACACCAAAAAATATCACTTAACATCAGCTCACAGACTAAACACAACTTGGACTGACCTTGACAGACAACATGATTTTGAGTGATACACAACTATTTTGGCATATGTGCATACAAAAACAGAAAATAAAGTTATTTCAATAAACCAATTTTCACGTTTGATTCACGTTTCCTACAAAAAAAATTTTTTTTTTGTATCACTCATACTTACATGTCCTATACAAAATTTAGTTTTTCTGATATAACACCCAGCTGTTTTTTTTACTGGACACCAACTGGAAAGTCATACAATTTCGTAGAAATCCTTTGAAAATGCCTATAATTTTGCAAATTAATACAGAAAACACTGCAATCGCCGCAGTCATGAGAAATCTGTCAAAGTCGTGTGAAAATCACCACAGTCCTACAGAAATCACCATATGATTATGGAAATCATATGAATTCAGTAATACATGTACATTTTACAAAGAGTGGTTCACCACTCAATTTATGTATGAATTTATTAATTACTACTATTAGTACATGTATATTAAATTTTCTAAGGAATATTCAAAAATTAAACTTACATTACACTTCCTCCTAAAATTTACATTCACTGGTGAAGTTCCCATACTTTCTTTGAATCCAAAATATTCATCTTCATCCAATTCAGATTCGGTATCATAATCATCAGTTCCTAAATGTTCATAGATTTGTTCATCATTCTGCAAGGTATGGTCACTGTGTGCATCAATAACAGATTGATTGTTTGGAAGATGACTGCTATTATGAAAGACTTCACGTAAGTTATGAGATTCTTCTATCAAATCAGTAGTAAAGAATTTTTTCTTTAAACTACTGTTCATATTGTTTCTAATGGAAATATCACTTACAATATTAATTCGAGAATTTTCAGATCTTTTTAGCTTTGGTGTGCTGTGATACTCAATTACAGCATTAGTTGTAATAGTTGAAATATTTTGTGATGTATTAAGATTACAATGTTGTGAATTCTGCTGTAAGACATTAGAGAACATACTGAGCCGATCACTGGACAAATTTGTTGCATTATTATTAAAACCAAGAAAACCTTCTTGTGAATGATGTCCAACAGAATTTCCAAAAACAGTTTTTTCTGAAATGAGTTCATTTTGAGATACAATTTTGTTTTTATTTTGGTGTAGGCTTAATGTCAACATTTCTGGGGCCTTTTTTGTAACAACTTGGGTATCAGTATTTTCACCAACAACTTTTTTTGCTTTTACTTTCATCATTACTCTGTTCAAAGCTTTATTGATATGTTTATCATATTTTGAAGGACTCTTCTGAACTAATCTTTTTTTCCTAGCAGCTATTTTTTCTTTTTTCCTTATGTTGGACAATATATCATATGAAGTTTTATCAAATTTGCCAGAGTTATTTCTTTTAGGTTTCTGTCTTTTCTCCTTTTCGGTATCAATATCAAGATCATAAGGATCTTTGAGATTTGTTTTAGTTTCCACTAAAAATGCTTGTCTATAAATAGGCACTTTAGATTTAACACCATTATTAATATGGATATTTTTAACAGGAGTTTCTTCTATACTAGATTCAAAGTAATTTACATCTTCAAATTTCCTTAGCCTACTCACCAATGGAGCACTTTCTTTACTTTGACTTTTCAAGAGATTCTTTTTAATTTTACTCTCAAATTCTTGTCTTTCTTCGATTTTCTTATTTTTTGTATTTTTAACATTCTGTTGTGGCTTTTCTTTTTGTAGCCCTCGTTCGTTGTTGCTTTCCTCAGTATAACACTTTTTCGGAGGTACGTCTTTGTTATATACATTTTGTTGCTGGTATTTCTTGTTAGGTACAGGCTTCCTAGGACTCTTTCTTTTTGCATTTACGACTTTTCTGGTTTTCGGCATATTGCTATTAAAATCAGGAAGTCGCTCAACTAATATTCTTAACTTTTTCACATCTCTAACTAATGGAAGTCGTTCAACTGATATGCTTAACTTTTTCACATCACTAAGTAATGGAAGTCGTTCAATTGATATGATTAAGTTTTTCATTTTTATTCTACGTTTTGGTAAAGAGTTAAAACATTTCAAATTAGTATTTCACAACAAACATCAAGCGCAATGTCTACAAAAACCGCCAACCGTCGATGTAAAATAAAATAATGTCATGTCAATGTCAATCTTTCTCACAGAACCAGTTTAATATTTGACGTCTTTTCGATTGTTTTTAGCAAGATATCGAATCCATAATGGTTAGATAACTTTAAGAATCGATTCTCGATCTCGATTCTTTAAAATAGAAACGGTATAGAGAAAGTAAAAGTTGAAAAGTCTTTTGGTAGGTAGAGAGGGGGTAAACGTCAAACCACGTCGGGCGGCTCCGAGAATTTCACAGTAATGTTTACCTGCCAGTGTCGTTTCATAGAATAAGTAATTTTAAATTTTTATCGGCGGAACCGGACAATCGCATGTATTTATGGATTATAAATAATTATTAAACATGTATTATAATATTCAAATTATAATTTTACAAAATTTCAACAGCTATTCACAATTTATTAAACTATTTACTCGAAATTGTTATTAACATCTATAAAATAATTTTGTACGCCAATGTATCGTGTCCACTTCGGTGAGATCCGCTGACAACCTGTCAAGTTATGTGTATAAAGTGGGAGAACTGGCAAAAGCATTTCCAACTTTTACTTCTGTTCTAGTTACAATAAAATACAGGGTGTCCCAATGTTAACAATCCATAAACTAAAAATATTTATAGAAAAATGCTGTTTTCATCCATCGATTTAAATCATGCTAAGATTATGTTTTATTCAAAGAATTGTAAAGTATATTTATTTTAAACAGTTTATTTACTGACACTAATTATTATAGCTTTGTTCGCGGTAAGAATCCTGAACTGATTCAGAACTACTAATTTATATTTTGAACACATGCCATTTATTATCAGTTCTGAATTTTTACCGCACGCGCACCCCCTATCATATATCGGTGTTCCAGTGGGCTATTTTCAAACAAATTCTCTCAAAAGAAACATCATACGTCAACATAAAAACTGTATTTTAAAAGCTAATGAGAATTAAAATTCTCAGGAGTGTTTGAATTCTCTCGATCTAAACCAAGAGAAACAGTCAGTGAGTTCTCACTGGCTTTAAAAATACTGTTTTCACGTTGACATGTGACATTTCTTATGAAAATTTTGAGAGAAATGAGTTCTTTCAAGTCTGAAAATAGGTCCCCTTGGGGTTATTTTCATATCATAAGATCTATGCTAACATACGGTGCAGTTGTCTGGGTACAGGAAACCTAAAAATTGACAGTTATCCGTAATCTAGAACAAATTTAAAGAACAGCCTGTCTCAACATAACAGGAACCATGAAAACAAGACCGACCAGAGCCATGGAAGTTATTTTTAGTCTCACTCCCACATACTTTGAGCTCACTCCCCTTGATATTTACATTCATATTTACATTTGACGACAATGACACGCCTCCACACGGTTGGAATAGAAACTGATGTAGGATCTGGTGAGGCGAGACGTGGCTTTTGGCAGAAGGCACTCGATACGCTCTTACTGCTTTAAAGGAACATGGACTCCATCTCACCGAGATATATATATCTTCCATAAGCCATATAAAGTTGTAACAGAACAAATAGAGAAGAGCCGGAAGTAGCAGGTACGATTATTAACGGTTCCATGACAAAACAGGACTTGACAAAACAGAACAGGACAAAAGAGAACATGACAAAACAGAACTTGACAAAACAGAACACAGACAAAACAGAACACGGAAAAAACAGAACACAGACAAAACAGAACAAGGACAAAACAGAACACAGACATAACAGAACACAGACATAACAGAACACAGACAAAACAGAACACAGACAAAACAGAACATATCGACGCTCTACTGAGAGAAGTTAAAATCACGTAAGAAATTCAAACTTTATTTGTAGATTTTTAAAACAATTAAGTCTTATTGATAGCAAAAGTAAATAAATGAAGTTTGTACAAAAAATAATCTAACACTGTGAACTAATTATCATACAATTGATTTAGGGTAATGTTGCAATATATTTAATCAGAAAATAGTATCAAAACCATCTTTTCTTACGAGAACCCTCACTCGACATAAACAAGGTGCTTATATTCCAAATCCAACAACGGTCGAATTTAATATACCAGAACATTACATGGATGTAATTTTACATGATACAGGGGCCGATGATTCTGATAGAATTCTGGCAATAGGGAATGAAGAGTTGGTTAAAGAATTAAAAAAAGACGTTATTTTTGGAGATGGAATTTTTGATAAAGCACCAAACGTTTTCTATCAACTATATACATGGCACGCTAAGGTTGGAAATTCCCCTTTCTAACAAAAAAAGAATTATTTAAATCGGACACCGTGTTAAAGAATTATCGCTGAACATACATAAAAAAAAATATCGCGACGAATTGAGAACCTCCTCCTTTTTTGAAGTCTGTTAAAAATAAGTTGGAATTTCTACGCCGAATGTTCGATAATAGGCATTCATCGATTATTCGAACATTAAAAGAAAATAAAATGTACAATGCACCCATATAAAATAATAGCAACTCAGGAGCTTATGAAAGACGATTTTGATAGGAGAACGCAATTTTGTAGACAAATGATGGCAATGTTAGATAATATGGTGATCCAATTAGAACATGTTTTGTTTTCTGATGAGTGTACCTTTACACTTCACGGTCATGCTAATCGTCAAAATTGCCATTATTGGTTTAGGAAAAATTCTCACTTAATGAGAGAAGAACATACGCAATATCCTCAAAAGGTTAATGTTTGGACAGGAATTGTTGGCGATCATATCATAGGTCCCTTTTTCATTGATGGCAATTTGAATGGCGATAATTATTTAGTAATGCTCCAAAATAATGTGCCAACTTTGACGAACTTTATATCCCGATCCAGCAAACCCACAAATTCCAGCGAATATGATATGGTTTCAGCAAGATGGAGCACCGCCCCATTACCAAATCAATGTCCAGCATTACCTCAATCGAGTATTTCCAAATCGGTGGATCGACGGAATTGCCAGCACGATTCCCTGATCTGACATCATTTGGACTTTGTTTATGGGGATATGTCAAAAGTAATGTATACAAAACTAAACCATTGATCTAGCTGATTTAAGAAGACGAATAACGCATGCGATTAGATCGGTCACGCCTGATATGTTGAGTAACGTTAGAAGACATTTTTATTTCAGATTAGAATGTTGCAAAGAAGTTCGCGGCGAGCATTTTGAACCTCTCCTACATTGAGATGTGTTTTTTTACGTTCCTATCTGTATACAGTTATGGAAACTATAGGAATCCTGATTATTTTCGACCTCGAGGTTTTGACGGATTTTTCGTATTGGGGTCCCCTGAATCCGTTTTGGCTATTTTCGCGATGTGTGTGTGTGTGTGTGTGTGTGTGTGTGTGTGTGTGTGTGTGTGTGTGTGTGTGTGTGAGTGTGTGTGTGTGTGTGTGTGTGTGTGTGTGTGTGTGTGTGTGTGTGTGTGTGTGTGTTTGTGTGTGTGTGTGTGTGTGTGTGTGTGTGTTTGTGTGTGTGTGTGTGTGTGTGTGTGTGTGTGTGTGTGTGTGTGTGTGTGTGTGTGTGCACGATAACTCATGACCAGATACACAGAAAAACACCAATTTTTAAACTTAAGCTTGGAATAAATTCCAGTCTACGGTGAACTGATTAGATTTTGAGCAGAGTCGGAACATCTGGGGGGTACTTAGGGGACGCCATTTTTATTTTTTTGAAATACATCTGTTATTTACGTTTGGAGAAGAAAATTCTTTAAATAAAAGTTACTTCTAATATTATTCTCTATAATTTTTGTTCTATATAAAATTTTCCTAAAATGGCCCGTATTCGAGAAATTTTTCAAAATGTAAAAAATTCTGATTTTTAAGAAAATTTTTAAACTAAAAGATGTTTGCGATATTGATCTCTATAATTTTTTTACATGATTTCTCTAAAATGGACCGCAATGGAAAAATTGGAGAAAAAGTATAAAATTTAAATTTTTAGCATTTTCGTTGGCAGTGTATATAGAAAAATGTTTTGGGTTAGATGTAAGTGGAAAATGTATATATGTATATTTACAGAGGTGCTACAATAGATTGTTCAAAATAACTCAAAAAAAGCCTGTAATAACTAGATAGGAAAGTCATGTGTTGAACACATCAGATTTTTTTATTACATTATCAAGAAATAAAAAATATTACTAATTAGTTTTTGAGTGTGTTGTAACGAATTTCTGTAATCAAATAATTTTATTTTAATAATGTTAATTTTTACAAAAAATCAGAAAACATTTAATATTTCTGAAACAGTTAGGCATAGGACACATAGTACATAAAATATGTCTAGAATTTTCTGAAGAATCCAAATATTGAAAAATATATGGAGCGTTGCATTTAAAATAAAAAAGTTGGTATTACCCACTGTTATATGACACACTCTATAAAAAAAGTTTTTGTTAAAAAAAAATGCCAAACTAAAAATACCAATCGACGTGTCCGAGCGTTTTTCCGAACACGCCCCCATTTATTTGTTACCGAATTTATTCCATTTGGCTGTTTCACACTATAGGTATGTGTGCCTTTTTTCCCAAACTGGGGACTTAAACAGTTCCATCGAAATTATATAATGATATGTTCTGCATAAAATGAAAATTACATTAATTAAAATGTATTTTACAATGGCTAAAAAACTCCTTTGTCTAAAATGAAATTGAAGTGGCTGCCGTTTACCGCCTCGCATATAATGAGCCCTGGCCTAAGCGGTTGCATAAAATAATGATTAAGATCCTTTTGATTTTTTATCCAATTTGTTTTAAATACATCAAAACGAAAGAAAAACTATTCGTCCACTCTGTAGAATGACAATCCTAATATTTGCAGCACAGTTAAGATATTCTGAAAATTTGAAAAAATGTATTAATTGCAATAACCGCTACCCACCTAGTCCTTCAGAAGAAACAGTACACTCCCTATATCATGATGTAAATGCATGATTTTATTACTTGGATGACAAAAAAGGATCACGCAGCGTGTAAAAATGCGGAAGAAAAATCAATAAAATTGGTTCATTAATCTTTTTATTATTATTTTAGTAATCAACTTTTTAAGAATTTCATTTTCTTCTTTCTTGACTTATAAGTATATCATGATTCTAAACTAGAACGATTCTAAACTTTTGTTATTGTTTTAAATTGTTTATTTATTTATTGTTAAAGAAATTATAGAAATGAAGGTCGTTTAATTAAGAGGAGTACGTATATAAAATAGGGTAAGCTTTTTCTTATAGATTGTTCAGTATCAGCAATTGTCAGTTCCATAGTTCCAATATGAAAGGTTTGGTAAGTGATCATTTTTAAAACAATATACAATACTAGGACCTACGATAAATCTAGCTAAGCGATTTTACTAGAAGAAAAAAATATTTGGTCTTACTATAATAGCACTAGAACAAAATGTATTGCATAGTAACGGTGAGGGGGTGAACAACATATACTATGGTAATGATTTTTATGCTTCTAGCCATCTATAACAATACAAAATCCCTTTGCAAACATTTTCTGTCGTCCGATTTTGTTACGTCTGGTTTTGCTACTTCCGGTGTAGGGATTTCGACCACGAAAACGAATATTTACGTTTATCAACGAAATTCGGAATGTAGGTTAAAGGCGTTTTTTTGACCTAAGATAATATTGCAAGCAAAAAACACGACGTGTCACTTTTTACAATCAGTGAGAGACTCTATTACTAATGTCATCTGTTTAAAATACAGAACAACGTCAGTGTAATCTAAATGTGTGAATTCCGAGTATTTTATTTTAATTCTTGAGGACAGAATAATAAATATATTTTACTCATTTTTTTTTACAAAAAAGACGACATACTAAACTACTTATCATTCTAGCGGTATCAGCAGTAACACAAAATTAGTAGAGATTAAAAAAGAATTGGGCAGTAGAAGAACCGATAATTATAACAATCTCTTATGGGGGACAGTCCAAAGATACTTCTGGGTGAATATAATCAGAAAAAATCGAAAACCTGCATCTCCCTGAGCAAGAACAGGCTACGCATTGTAACAGGGATCCTTACCGGGCAGCATATTTGAAATCCGCCGACACGTTAGATACTCGGATCAGTTCGGTATCGAGAATAACAGCCTCGTAAAATCTCGACGTGTTAGACTAATACGTCGGCAGTTTACGAATACGAGTTATCTATGAATTTATATAGATATTATTAGAATAGGCATATTAGTCAAATAGCGCACATAAGTGGGAAAATAAATTTAAATTCAAAAAGGTCAATTGTTAACAAAAGGAAATACATTTATATTTATTTTTAAATTTTGATCTAAACTGCTTCTTTGATTAAATGTAATTTATTGACTTATTTCCTCCCAATTCCACATTATTTTTAATACATATCGCCAACGAAAGTGGTGCTTTCGTAACTCGATTTTTAACTAGTTTTCTTCCACTGTACATTGCCTTCTTTCCTCCCATTGTTGTCTTTCTGCGACCAATGGGTGTGTTGTACCAAGATACCTAAATGCTTTCTTCTTTTTCGTGTACCTTGAGTTCGTTTCCTTTTACACAATACTCCTTTATATTTGAAAGCTGAATCTAAACCACGGGTATATGGGATATTAGGCAATGTCTTTGAATTCAATTTAAATTTAAAACCAATTTTGTTAATTTAAAATCACCTATTATAGCATGAACAATAAATTACAAAATAATCTACATAGAGACTTGCATATAGGCACTAGAAAACGAAAACTAAAACTAAAAGTGTTTCTGATGAGTGATAATTGATGTCAAGGGCGTAATGGGGTAATTATCCCGCAAGAATTTGTAAATCTTTTTTATAGGTACTAAAATGTATTACTATCAAGAGTAGAGTCTTTAATATTACCACTATCCCTCCAGACTTAAACTATATTACCACTACCCCAAGACTTAAACCCTGGATGAGCTACTGATTGATGTGTCTAGTAATCAAACATTTCTTATTTCATAATTCGCCGACGTATTAGTTCTAACACGTCGGTATTTTACGAGTTTATCAATCGCGGCATCAAAATCTCCCGAGTGCCTAACGTGTCGACGGTTTCCGAATATGCTACCGGGCATTGTCGACTCAAAAGGATACCTTACAGTAAACTGATAGTGGTAAAAGATAGTGTAGTGTATGTAGAGAATTGTGAACAGAAAATGTTTTCATATATCAAGGTTGAAAACCGTTAATAGGTGGAAGTAGAGAATCCATATCGTATGTACGGCACGTTAAGTTTGTTTTACTGACTTCAGTAGAATGGTATAGAAACACAATAGTATTCATTAGAGAAAAATAGAATAATAGGCGCTCCGCAATATACATGCAATATCCTATCATTGCTATCGAAAAGGTGTGGTTAAACCAATTATTGCTCTCTTTACTCCTATCACGTCCAAATATAATTAAGCGTCTCTTCTTTATTCTGCTGAGTGAATTGGTTAACATATTGTGTGTTAAAAAAGTGGCAGTGAAATTTTAAACGAGCCCAGTCTCTTACTCGTTTTGGTACCATATTAGGCTCCTTTCAGAATATCTTGATCTAAGGTGTACTTTGAGTTTGGTATGGTTTGCAGTGTAGAATTTTAGGAAATTTTTAATATTACTAATTATAAAGAAGTCTTCATATTACTAATAACTGTCAATGTTACAATGTTAAATTGTTATATATTTTTTTTTAAATTTATTTTGCTATTCATAATTTGAACCGATTTGGTGGTATTCTGTATCATACAATTATTGATGCCAAGCAAGTTGCTTAGATCAAGGTCAGTTGTTTACCACTTTGAGAAAATCATAATTCTCGTAAAATTTCTGTAGTCTCTAACAACTAGTGGTTATAAAAGTGGATTCCGAATAATTTGGAAGGAACCAAATATTTTTGGTGGTTAAGCGTAGCAACTAATTGCGTTGAGAAAGAAATATGGACCCTTGGATAATAAATATTATAATTATAATAAAGCAAGAAATTAATGGGAGATATCTTTATTGATAAGATAATAGGAACTAAATAGTTACATTTATTATTTTTTCTTATGGATTGTTTTAGGAATGAAGTAAGACTTCAGCAAAGGCTACTGTTCAAAAATAACAAACATGTTTTCACAGATACTTCAGTTACTGTATTTATAATCCACCCCATATAAATAATATATAATAAACATAAGAACAACAATATATTTTATTTGAATAAGGATAATTTCCTGACCGTAGTAGAATTTTATATAAATAAAAATTTCCTTGGTTTAATCGGTCATTGTTTTCATTTTCAATCGTTTAGCACTACATATGTTTCGGAAATTTATTTTTTTCCATCTTCGGGTGCAGTCAAAATTTAAAAATAAAAAAAAAGCCAAAAACACAAGGGGACGATTACGAACAGTTTAAAAAAATTTAAAATAACAGAAACCCATCTTTCTCTTTCAGCGTGTGAAGGTGTATGAAAGAGAAAGATGATAACAGTTACTATTTTTTGTTTCGATCTGTATCTGTAAGTTGGAGAGGGTGGATTACCGCTCACATCACTCTGAAAGAGAAAGATGGGGTTCTGTTATTTTAAAATGTTTTAAACTGTTTGTAATCGTCCCCTTGTGTTGTTGTTTTTTTTTTTAATTTAAATTTTGACTACATCCGAAGATGGAAAAAAACGAATTCCCGAAACATATCGTCGCCCTTATCACGAAATGGCATAAGAAGCAAATAGTAAATTTTACAGAAAAGCAATAAAATGAAAATACATAACTCTCAGATCGACATAATATAGAGGTATTTAGAGTTTGCGCTTTCAAAATTTTATCATGGAATGCTAAGACCTTGTGTTATTGTTTGAATAGCCAAACTCCCTCGGGATTTAAACAATTTTCACACTTTACCAGATAGACGTTAATTAAGTATATTTTATTAATTTAGTTGTCATTCTTTTTAATGCAATATTATGTTCGTTTTATCTGCATGTGATTATATTTAGTATAGATTTAGGAAATGACAAACAAATAAAAAATATGTTTAATGTTTCTATTAAGAAAAATAAACATAACTGAAAACTAATGATTAAAAATAGTTGGAATTGCGTTTAAAACTATCAATCTTCATGAGGTAATTGCTGATAATATTTCTGCAATTTAACCACGGGCATTTGACTTTGACTTACGAAGATTAGGTCAGAATACTTATTGCTTGTTAGTTTTACTGGTTCTGTGTTGAGAGATTCTAATTTAATATCACAACTATTCTCTGTCAGTCTTATTACTGAGGCTCTTCCTATGGGGCCTCAGTATTGCATTCGTGCAGACGAAAAAAAATTCTTACCCCCATTTTTTAAAACTTTTTTTTATGTTTCCAATCATTCTGAGTCCGAAAATGCGAAAAAAAAATTTCGTCTAGTCGTCTGTTTGTATGTATGCTGGCACGATAACTCTAGAACGAAAGTTCTGATTGACTTGCGGTTTTGATTTTCTTGAATAATTACTTCTAACTTAGAACCCTATTGATTTTCAGAATTTTCGGTTCATCCTAACTACTTTAATATCAATTTTCTTAAAATCTGCATATGTATTTCTTATATGACAATATTAGGAATTACAATTATTTCTAACGTCAACATTCCTAACATTCTTAAAATTCCATAAATTGCAAACATTCTCTAATGACCTGTCAAACAACAGCTGTTGATAGTAAAGTTAAAATTTCTAAGGCGGGTTGCGACCTTCATACTTGCAACCATAGCCATTTTGGAGGCTATTTTTATTCGAAATTAGTAGCCAAGCCTGCCAATTTATGAAAAATATATAAGCAATTTCTTTAAAATGACTTTTTTATGGTGATGCCAACTTAAGCGTACTACTATTTCGCCCCTAGCCACAAAAACACTTTCATCAAATTTACTGGCTCTCTGTCGCAACCCCATAGAATAATTAACCGGCCACTTTATTTGGCAAAAATCAGAATAATGCTTGGCTGTACCTGTCAAGTATCAAGATGTCAACTGTGATGTGTGAATGGCTCTTAAATGTCAAATTATTTAAAAATGTATACTTCTTTTGATATTTTTGCAAATAATTTGTAGGGTATCTCAATTCAGGCTTGTCATAAATAAAGGTACAACAAGACAGATAATATAATGTTCTTATACAAAGCACTTTTTTATTATATAAAAGAGAGGTAGGATATAATGCTGGTTTTTTGTAGAACATTTTTATTATAGGATTTTGGATTACATATTCAACTAGCGAATTGTAAATAATAATAAGTAAACTTCTAGTCATAAATTTCCTCAATAAAATAAAATTTAAAAATGAATCTTCTTACCTTGGTACCGAGGTATTTTGTTGTGTTTTTTATTTTAATTATAAAGTTGTCATTTATTAGTATGTTGAAAGAAGGCCTTTGTAAATTACATTGCTCTCTATGGATCTACTTTAACACAAAAATAGTTTTGTGGCTATAAGTTGCTATAACCTATCGTCGCAAAACTATTAATAATTTTAACATAGTAAGTAGTATTAATATAACATCAAGTAATTTTTTAAAATAAAGTACATAATCTCAAAACAGAAATAATTTATAATAAATGCTGATAAAACGAGGGGTAAAATAACAATAAATTAAGGGAAATACTTAAAAAGGGCAGGTTTAAAGAGTATTATCACAAGAAAGTATATCCGTTCTATTTATTTATTAAGTATTGTTTGAGGTTACTTTTGAATACATCTATTGTTGTTTTTTTTTTTTAATTTCTGTAGGCAGTCTATTACATTTTTTAAACCTTTAATAAAATTGTATTTTGGGAACTTTTAGTGATGGCTTGCCGTACATGAAAGTCTGATTTGTTTTTTGTATTATCGTTGTGATATTGCAAATTATATTGAATTTTTTCTAATAGATGATACTATGTCATTTTAATTTTATAAATAAATATCAGTCATGTACTGAACATAATTCTGAACTGAAAGCCAATTTATTTATTTTAACATAGTTGCAGTACTCATCCTTATGTCCTTTATTAATATTATATAAATTGGCAAATATTTTACATGAGCAGGCTTAAGGGGCCAATTATTATTCGATAAATTGCTCAAACAAGTTTGTAAACCCTAATCAAAAGGCGATATAGAAAGGTTATTAAAATCAAAGCTTGTGAAAATCATAACATCGTTTAACCTAATTAATGCCAATGCTTCACAAAACCAAAAAATTCAACGTCCTAATACTACTATCTGCTTTCGGTCTTTCGTTCCAAGGTAAATCATTTCTTGTTTTTGTTACGCTACGAGTTTACCCTTGTGGGCCTCAGTCTCGATAAGGTGGGAACCACCATTTTAGCGTCTCTCGAATTTTTATTTCATTACTGTCATATTCTTTATGGTTATGACTTCGCTTGAAAAAGAAATTAGAAGGCATGTGTTTTCGGACCATAAATTCCATAATTTTAGTCCACTTTAAATTTTCTCCTGACGAACTTTCTCTAATTGATAGAATTCTTATAGATTTTAACAGTTTTTTAAAATCCAAGAAATCTAAGAATAAGGATACTTGGATTTTTAATTAAGTTTATCGATAATTAACATTAGGTACCTAAAATTTCCTTTAAACCACATATTAAAAGATATCCTGCGTTTTGTTAACAAATATTTCTAAAAAGAAGAAGAGTTATACGCTCGACATTCGTATGTAAAATAATTTTCATTCCAAAGTGAGGGCCAGCTAATAGAAATTTAAGAACTAAAATTCAATAAAAAAAATTAATATTCGATATTACGAGTGGTTCAAATACTAATTAGTCTACAAGTTTGTCATAAATAGAAGCTGCAAAAACAAGTTGTTTGGGATCAATGCACATAAAGGCGCATATCAGTATTTCGCACGACACACCTGTCATTGTTATATAATTGTAATTTACTATCCGTGTGCAGAATAGTCAATTGTGTTTTCTTGAAACTTAGGACATATTTATTATTATTATTTAAATAATGCAGAATTGACTTTTTACAAGGTTGAACTACGGAAGTTCCAATGAGTGGCTAAATACCCCCATACAGTTATTTTTATAAAAAAATATTTAACAATGAGATTATGCACTTGACTTTGCTCATTGACCTTTTCAATCCATTGTTATTGATCATATTATTTAAGCCTTTATGTGTTCATGATACCCACATATTCATTTATATTAAATTGTTGTGATTTGTAAAGTATTAAAGGTGTATTTGCATTTATTGGAAGCGCCAGTCACATTGAGCTGGTAAAAGTGGAACCAGCTGAACTTGTTACACCTTACTTATTATATCGACAACAAACTGCAGGAGTTATTCATGAAACCAATAACTTTGAAATTGTACAGGTACGAACTTTTAAACACGCATAATATACCTTACAATTAGTTGAACGGTATAGTAGACAGATACTCCTGTCGCTCGTCGCGCATAAATCTGTAATGTATGTAGTGTTATGTGCATGTTTCTATTAAACATTGTTTAACTCATTGTAAGGTATACTTTCTGTGGTAAACATTTGTTATCAGTATGTAGGGTTGCGGAAATGTCTGGCAACAAGGTATTTTCTTTGCAACGAATGAATATATAATTTCATGAAACTATAGGGTATTCTTTATTTTTTACCATTTTTTAGTGGACATGTCAGCGCTTAGGGTATCGTCATTTTGAATTTTTTTAAATGTCAACGTAGATCGAGTGATATATCAGAGAAAAGCTTATTATAGGATCACAAATAGACATAATAATGTCATAATGTAATCATCACTCTACAATGTTATAATCATACATTCATTTGTTTTAAAGAAAACACCTTTGTGCCAGACTTTTCCCCCGTATATACAGGGTGTCCCAAAATTAGACGACCATATTTTAACAGCGTAATCTACATCCTAAAATAGGAGTGAAAGTTTATATAAACATAGGTCCAAAAACGTTTCTTTTCTGAGATACAGGGTGTTAAAAGTGAAGTCCTAATAACACACTTTTGTAAATATTTTCTAAACATTTAAATATAATTAAGTGAAATTTGGTACGAATGCTTACCTTTTTACGCTCTATTTAATGGACTAAACCCCAGTTTTGATCATCCTTATAGGTGGGTAAATTAGGGGGGGCTTAGGGTAAAATTGCCCTATGTTTTTTGTTGATAGTTTTTAACATTTTTGACTATTAAATTTGGAAAACCAATGTTTTCTTTATAATACAGCTACTTTTGTTGCATCTCGCTAGGACGCGCCATTTTCAAGAGAAAAGCATTTGAAAATTTCATGATAGGTTGACAAAAAAAGAATATTTATTAATTTTAAAAGAAAACTGTTCAACATATTTAAATTTTACAAAATTTGTTTTTGCATTTTAAATTATACCACAGTATTGATCAAAGTAATTGGTCCAGTAAAAAATATATGTGTACTTAAACTAAAATGAATAATGATTCTTATTATATAATTTGTCCCCTCTATAAAGTTCAATGTAACTAAATTTAGTCTCTTTTAGATCGCAATTTTGTTCGCCATCTTGGCAGTAGCCACTGCTGCTCCTAGCGGGCTAGGACTAGGATTAGGCTGGGGACTTGGCGCTCCAGGAGCCGTCCTAATTCCACCCTCTGCCAGTGCAGTTATTACTAAACCTGTTCTTGGATGGGGATTAGCCCCAGCAATTGCTGCACAAATTGCCCCAGTCGCTATTGCCGCTCCAGTTGCTGCTCCAATTATTGCGCCTGCTGTCGCTCCTGCTGCTGCAGTAGCCATTACCAATGGAGGAGGTAAATAGTTTTTTTAGTTATCGAAAATTAGGGGAAAAGAATGGTCTTTAAATATCACATATTGGGTGGAGGAAGTGACTTGCTGCCGTAATTACTCGGGCTTCGTCGTTTCTCCATTTAAAGCATCTCCATCCTAAATAAAAACATTTTAGAAATAAGCAAAAATTGTATGAACAATTAAAAAAACCTTATGTTCTCTTAAGTTGAAAAAAAAATAATAAAAAAAAATAAAAAAAAAATAAAAAATTAAAAAAAGAATAGAAACAACAAAAAAACAAATATAAACAAAAACAAAAAAACAAAAAGAAAAATATATAACACAAAAAAGAAAATATAACACAAAAAAAAAGAATAATAACAAAAACGAACGACTAACAAATACTAACAGTGGATTTGTAATTGTTTGTATCCAAACAACTAACAGTGGATTATGGATTTGTAATTGTTTGCACCCAAACAATGTAAATTAGTCTGGCCAATTGGCAATACCAAGGCCATAAATTTTTATTAAAAAAAATCTCGAGTTTTTCTTTATTGGGACTACTTTCGAAATATTTAATTACTTCATCTACAGGCACACAAACGAAAAATATATTTAATTTCTAAGTAGTAGATAACATTTGAGTCAGTATTATTTCGCAACATATTTCCCCAATGTATTTCTCAGCTTAGACCTGTAGCGTCCATAAAAATCATTTTAGAACCTACAACAAATGCATATTGAAATGTATATAGATATAATTAAAAATAAAAATTATTTCTTTTATAGGAACTATTGGAGTAAGCGGACATGGTGCCATAGTATCGGGCCCCAAAACCGCGCCTGTCGTGATTGAAGGTCCCTCTGGAGTAGTAAAAGCTGACGGTCTTTGGGGGCCCACACTCGCCGGTGTTGCTGTTCCAGCTGGCCATGGATGGTAAACCATTAAATCCTCAAACTTTAGGTCAGATTTTGTAGTCGATATTATTGATATTTCACGAGGACAGAACTGAAACCAAACGCTCATTATTTGTTGATACCTGAATGTAATTAACATTTTTAGGTTGTTGTCAATTTTATATATTAGTAAACAATAAATTAATTCTAAACCCTAATTGTGCTTAATATTACCCACGTCGACTAAATTGCCATTAGAATAGTAGTTTGTGCAACAAGAGTGGATATGGACAATTCACTCGAGTTGTACAGTATATTTTTTCTACGACCCACTAACAAAAATCTACAAATTAAAAAAAATATTTGAGGTTATTAAGACAAAATAACTAATTTTTAAATAATTTATGAATTTACTGATTTTTAAAATAAAATAAATATTAAAAAAATAAAAAAAAATATATATACGGCAACTTTTAAAATTTTTGTTTTAATACACGTAATTAAAATAGTTATACGGGGTGTTTCTAAATTCATGCGACAAAATTCAGGAGGTGATTGCTCGTATGAAATTAAGATGGGTCTTTCCGATATTTTTTGCCATACCATGTTTTCTTGTAATTATTAATTAAAACATTATATTTTTAGGACAGTGTTTTATTTAGATACCCCTACCTACTTATTGTTAATTTAAAATTTTAAATAATTTAGGTTAACATCATACCAGGCAAATATATAGTAAATGCCAATAAATTATAATTCAATAAATACTAAAAATCGGAAGGTAACTTGAATTCCCTTGTATTTGAATTTACTTGTACTTGAATTTACCTACATGAAAAAATCATCATAATTATATTACTAAAAAAATTACCTACTTATTTATATATATTTTTAACATACTACTCTGACAATACTGGTAAGTTTAAAACTCTACGCCACTGGCGAGCATATTATGGACACTGTTTACAACGTTGCCAGCCGGTCCTAATAAATCTGTTTTTCTCTCTTCCACTCACTATCAATTTTAAAACAATAACATTCCGCAATTGTATGGGATTTATGAATGAAACATTTTGTCTCTATGTTGTAATGTCTTTGTTCCATCCATACAATTTGTATAAATGAAACGATATTTTCAAAAGTGGTCTAGCTCAGTGCTACACTTTCGATTCAAAGAAAAATATCTAATATATATAGTTGTTATACAAGGTTCTTTCGTTCGCTGTAGGTGCAGTGTCCACCAGTGTAAATCACACCACCTAATTTACCTAGTTTACTTCTTCTTATTCCTTATATAGATGTCGAGTGTAATTCGTTTCTGCTAAATAGCTGGTGGAGAAAATATCCACCAGTGGACACCACATCGCAGAGAGGAAGGTGTAGTGGATTTTACACCGGGCCAAACGAAAGTTTTAGTGTCCGTTGGTGTAGTTCATTCCTACACCAGTGCGACCAACGAAAGAACCTATAGATTGCTCAAAGCGGGTGGCCATATTACCTTGCAAGTGCTTCATAATCAGAATCGGTATAGTAAAAATTATTTACAAACGTCGCTACAAACCAATGTTCAGCCTTTGAATATAGTAAAAAAAAAACTGATGTGTCCAACACATGACTTTCCTATCTAGTTATTATAGGCTGTTTCCGGTTATTTTGTACAACCTATTGCAGCACCTCTATAAATGTTTAAGGATGAACTAAGATATACATTTTTCACATACATCTAACTCGAAACATTTTTCTATAGATATTCATCGAAAACGAAAATACTGAAAAATTTAAATTTAGCACTTTTCCTCCAATTTGTCCATTACGGTCCATTTTAGAAAAATCATGTAAAAAAAATTATAGAGATCGATATCGTTAACAACTTTTAGTTTAAAAATTTTCTTAAAAATCAGAATTTTGCACATTTTGTCAAATTTCTCGAATACGAACCATTACAGGAAAATTTGACATTTAGCAAAAATTATAGATAATAATATTATTTAAATAATATTTATTTAAACAAATTTCTTCTCCAAATATAAATAACAGATATATTCCATATAATATAAAAACGGCCTCCCATAAAGTACCCCCTAGATGTTCCGATTTTGTCCAAAATCTAATCATTACACATCAGGCCAAAATAAAACTTAAGTTTAAAATTTAATGTTTATTTCCTTTATCCATTTTTGAGTTTTCTTCAAAATTCGAAATTTACACATTTTCTCAAATATCTCGAATACGGTCCATTTTAGAAAAATTATGTATGGAATAAAAATTATAGAAAATTATATTACAAACAACTTTTATTTAAACAATTTTTATAAAAAATTATTTTTTTACATTTCTTCAGATTTCTCGAATACGGACCATTTTAGTAAGTAACTTTTATTTAAAGAATTTTCTTCTTCAAACTTAAATAACAGATATATTTTATAAAATATAAAAATAATCATCTATAAAGTACCCTCCAGATGTTCCGACTCTGCCCAAAATCTAATAATTTCATTGGACGCCGGAATAAATAAGCTTAAGTTTAAAATTTGGTGTTTTTATTTGTATCGGTTCATGAGTTATGGTGGATACATCCCGAAAATAGTCAAAACGGATTCAGAGGATCGCAAAACGTAAAAATCCGTCGAAAACTGGAGGTCGAAAAAAATTATGATTCCTATACTTTCCTTATCTGTATACAGATAGGAAAGTAATAATTAACAACATTTTTACTTCGATGCATAGGCTTATGTTTATTTTGAAAAACATAGATGATCAATCTGTATAACTATCTATTTCATTGACCCCGTTAAATCACCAGTCCTGCAGGGTTGCCATAATTTTACCATATCATAACTTGTCAAAACCCACAGGTAGCCATTTTGTTTGGAATGCCTAATATTATTGTACTCATTGATTGTACTCAACCTAGTAACCAAAAGGTTCAATATACTCAACTAATTCCTATTACTAGTTTTCGATATGCAGGGTGTTAAAGTTGAAAATTGCCTAGTTTTTCGAAGTTTTTATTTGCAGACTTACGAGCTAAATTGAATTTCTGTTGCATACGAGTACACACATTTAATACATGTTTTAGTAATATATTATATCATGCGTATAATAAATAGCTATTTATGAAACCAGTTACTAAATGCCTTGTTTTATGTGACGACTGAATATTTGCAGGGCAAGCAAAGCGAAGTCCCACAACATGAACGAATTACATAAAACATCATTTCGTAACGTGTTAAATACAATATTTTTTTCTAATTTTGACTATATTATTTTTTAAATTGTGTTTGGGTAATAAATTAAATTACTAACATCTAGGCAATCAATATTACTGCTTTATTGTATTGTTCATTCTTTTATTGACAAAATAGAAAATCACATTCATTTATTCTCAACGACTTATTATAGTGTGTTTATATTCCTTGTTAAAGTTATTTAGATTTTAAGAAAGTGGGTTACTTTGTCGTGTATTATGTTTTAATTATTTTGTGCTGATTTAGAATGGAAAATAAGAACAAAAACAACAGTATTACTAGGTTTTATTTTAATTTGTTTTCTTTTCGCAACTGGTGATTTATTGAATTTTTCGAAACCAGTTTCATAATGTTCAACATTATATGCAACTGGTTGCGTAAAGAAGATCATTTTCAAACTTGCTGCGATTACAAAAACTGTTACTTTATGTGTCAAAATTAGAAAAAAATCTGTTTTACGTATATTTTAGAATGTCTAAAATAATTTCTGTAAAATGTAGATGAGATACTTGCATTTTTTGGCAGTTCTGCAGCTCTACATTTATGCATCAGCCGCCACTGGTCTAGTAGTTATTCGTCGTTAGTACCCACTATTCAAAAATATTTCCCAATGTTATCTTGTCAACGCCACATTTTCTTAAACAGGTATTAAATATAGAAAAATAGGTTTTTGAACTCTTTATTGAGCAAATATTGCAAATATACACTACCTATATGGTACAAAAAAATAATTTACAACCGATGTACATACATACCATGCATATATCAAAATCAAAAAACCAGTTCAGACTTTTAAGGTTCAACATAAATTAAGTAAAAATTTCCAGTGACAATCTCAACAAGAAGAATGAGAAGTGGGGGATAAAAACTTTAACAGTAAAGAGGGAAGACTGCATTTTTCTATTCTATTCTATATACATAAATGGTTACTAAATTGTGTTTTCTACTATTTATATATAAAATAAAGAACAAAATTCTCTCTCTATCGTATTGTCAATGGAATATTTACAATAATTGTTACATGACAGTGTTTCTTTTAAGTGGTGGTTTACCAGTGGCCTCCCCAACCACCATGACCTAATCCGGCTCCACCCCAGACACCAGCACCTCCCCAGGCACCATGACCTCCCCAGGCACCAATACCTGTAAATAAAATAATACTGTTCAGATTCATAGAAAATACTATTAATAAAAATAAAAATAAATTACCTAATTTACAACTATTAAATAATAGACGCGTCAGTAAATATATAATAGGTATAAGAGATATTACCATAGTCAGGCTGAAATGAATGTAATTGAAGTATATGAAATAGCATAAAAAACCATCTTAATTTTCTCAGACTACCAAGCAGCCTTAAAGGCACTTGGTTCAAATAGAATCAAGTAAAAGCTGGTCTGAAATACTTAATGATTTGCCAACCAACAAGAAGGTAAAACTAGTGCGGATATAAGGACGTAACGGTATCCAAGGCAATGAAAAGGCTGATGAACTCGGCAAACAGGTATCAAAACTATCATTCACAGGACCAGAACCTGTGATTGAGATAAACAAAACCCGTGCTCGATAGGCGATAAGAACAAAATATTAAACTTACTGGTAACAGAGAGGAGGACACAGAATCAGTAAACTGATGCTAAGGAGATCAAACCACGCATTGCTGCTGATGGGATTACACTACATAAAAGAGGAAGGAACTTCATACCTGGTTATCTTCGATTTCAAAGCCAAGAATACTTGGTAGTGAACTTAGTAAAATTAGCTAAGTTTGAGGATTTTGTTGTAGGGGCTCCGCAAAGAAACGGGAGGGACCTGGCAAGAGGATTTTGCAAGGAGGACTTTTTTTAGAAATGTGTTTAGGGCTCCGTCAAATATTTCGCTTTTCAAAAATGTTCCGTCACCAAAAAAGTTTGAGAACCACTGGTCTAAAGGCAATGCCCCCCTCCCCCCCGAAAATTCGTCTTGGAGCCGCCCTTAAGAGCGACACACATTACCCAGTGAAATACTAAAAAAAATAGGGTTTAACGGCTTGTATGATGATTACGATAAAGGACATTCTATCATCAAGCACAATAGCCTGAAATACATACCAACGGGACCAGCGAGTAAAGCTGGGGCAGCGACAGCAGGAGTCAAAACAGCACCATGGTTTACGGGTCCAACAAGAGCGGCTCCATGGTTAACGGGTCCAACGATGGCAGAAGGTCCAGCTGTAGGTCCAACAACAGCGGATGCTCCTTGTACTGGTCCAATGACAGCAGCACCTGGGGCATGGGGACCTACGATGGCAGCTCCAGGAGCTACTGGGCCGGCTAATACAGCTCCGTGGGCTACAGGGGCACCCAAGATGGCTCCATGTCCCCACGAGGGAGCAGCTGAGGCGACAGCCAAGGTAGCGAAGAATGCTATGACCTAAATAAACAAAATTTATTTTTAGGTTAGGATATGTTTCATGACAGTGTTGACAATCCGCAAAGTAGTACTGTGTTGGACTCAGTCCGCAATCATAAAGTGGTTTGCAATCTTTTAACATTGTCACTTATGCGAAAGTAAAATGTGAAAATCTTTATTAAAAATTACATTTTAAATACAATAACAACGTTGACAAAAGGTGTCTGTTCTTTTGCTTTTGATACTTGCAATTTCTTTCAGATCGTGATTTAAGATTTCTTCAGTTAAATCTGACTTTTACTTTTTATTTAACTAAATGTTTGATATTGGCGTATTTACTTTTGAAAATTTTCATCATGAATTAAAATGAAATGGGTATGATAATAAATAATTCGTAATATTAATTTTGAAGATTTAACATAAAATGTTACAACATACATAATACGCTTTATTTGAGTAGCTTATTAGCTTCGCTTGCGAGCTTGGACCCTATAGATGCCTCTTTCCTATATAATAAGTAATAAAACATCTTGGCAAATTCGCGTGTATAATATATTTTTCTATTTTAAGCTTGCATACTACTTTTTGAAAAACTATCAAGAATCACCTAATGTATAATAAAATGTATTAAGTTTTTTAAGAAATTCAGAAGTATTAAAACTCAACTATCTTTTTTAAGTATTAAGAAAATAACTCTTTATTTTTACGAAAATACCTTTGTGTTAAGTCACAAATTTGAAGTAGTTACGCCACTGATTTAAATTCTGCCATCAAATTTACAATATGGCGCTGACTATGATGATACTTTCAATTCGATTAAATTATGGAATTTTAGGTGTTTTTGTTGGCACACGTTTTCACGATAGGGGGCTCAAGCGATTACGTAAGCAAACTTTTATTGATTTTAGATCCCCCCACTTTAAAGAAGCAAAAATAAGAAAATTGTGAACGCACCCACAAAGATAAGACGTGAGAATTTTTTAGAAACTTTTATTTAGTATCAAAATTAAAATTTAAAAACTAAAATAAATTTTTAGATTTTTTTAATATCACCCCCGCTCCTGTTGTCAGCTAATATAGCCTATATAAAATATAATTAAAAAAAATGCTTAATAAAATAATAAAACACTATGCACCAAACTAAATAAAATGAAAAATTCTCAATTTCCGTAAATTATAGTTTCCATAAAATTTGAAAAAATTGTCTTACCAGAGCGTTCATGTTGAGATCTTTCTGTCTTTACCACAGATAGTACAATTCCATTACCGTTCACCCCATAGCGGTTTATATAGTTTGTTTCGACCTTCTCCACAATTTTTTTGTGAGCTATTAAAATCTAGATACTACATAATTGATAAATGTTACACATGCCAACGCCTCACGTCGGTGCCGGAGACAATAATTCCTTTTTATTCTATATAATTAATTGAAACGAATTGCATATTTTCCACTTACATATTCCATAAAATTTCCCAGTAATAATCTTAATATGTCATAATAAAATTATGTACGGTAAAATAAAAATATTAGATTGAATAAACCACCGTATATGAGTCTTCCATTGCAAGTCTCTCGAGATGTACATACATTCAATTCGACAGCTTTAGGAGTATTGGGCTTGGACATGCATGCAAATTAAAAATGTGTAAATAGTAACAGTTCGTGATTCGTTGCGACGTTTTGCAAAAAGATTATGTAAAACGTAAAGATTTGACATGAATAATATTATTAGATTTAAATATGATGACCATTTGTACTTATTTTCATAGGGATGGTCCTTATTTCTTATATATTATTAAATCTACAAATTATATATATACGAGGGTTGCCATTTATATTTCATGATTGGACAACTATAGTGTTGCAAACTGGTCGCTTACTCGTATGTAAACGGGACAATTCGGACTATTTCGTAAATGTCATTCGGATTATAGGAAGATGTTTCTCGCATCAAATAGAATTATTCTCTGGTGTTTTTGATTTTCAAGTGGGTAATGAAATTTTAAAAGTGTGTATTTGAATTATAAAACTAGTAATAAAATTTATATAGAAAAATAATTTAGTACTGGTGAGAGAAGTGTTGACTCAGAATCCGTTTAAAGATTCTCATTGATGGGAAATAAAAAGTAATGTAAACAAGAAGAAGGAAAATATTTTTCTCTTGTGAGAAACCTTCTAAATATTTAATTATTGTAAGAAGAATAATAATAACAATAATTTTAATAAGATATTCGATTATTACTTGAGTTTTCAACTTACAACTTACACAAAATACTCTTAAATTCAAATGTATTTCAAACTGCTTAAACCAAACGTCTAATGGATTCAGCTCAGCCATCAGCGTTACCGTATAGACTGACATCTGCGATAACACTCATTTTTGTTTGGACCTTAGTCTGAATACGGTAAGGAATAGGGTTACCGTATTCTTAAAGTGACGAGTGGCCATAACTCTCTAGTAACTTAAGAGATTCATCTCGGCCAAGAAATGGAATTAAATCGTGAATATTTCCGTGGGATAATTTTTTACAACTTTTGACGTGGATTAATTCAGCAACAGTGCATCGATGAACTTAATTCAATTTTTGGCGATGAAGGACCAGTGTTTATCGATGGTATGATGAATTCAATCTAGGTCGTAGTTCGCTCCAAGACGAATTTCGTGAATTTCGTTACTTTTACAGCTCTAGTATTGACATGTAAAAAACAGTTTTTTTGACTAAATAAACGATTTATATATATATATGTGGATAAAAAAACGCTCGAGATGTAAAAAATGCATCTGATGTGGATTCTCAAACGCGGCAATAAGTATAAAATAAATGAGTAGAGTACTAACTTTCCTTCTCGAAAAGAAGTCCAACATATATTATTAGTCTGCTTCTTCTTCTACGATACAGCTTTGTAACCCCAAATGTCATGAAACAGAAAATACACAGTATAAGTATAAAATAAATGAGTAGATTACTAACTTTCCTTCTCGAAAAGGAGTCCAACATATTTTATTAGTCTGCTTCTTCTTCTACGATACAGCTTTGCAACCCCAAATGTCATGAAACAGAAAATACACAGTATAAGTATAAAATAAATGAGTATATTACTAACTTTCCTTCTCGAAAAGAAGCTCAACATATATTATTAGTCTGCTTCTTCTTCGAACCTTTACTTGAAGTAGAAGGTGTTTGATCAACATATTCAATTTCTACGTTATTTGAGGAAAGTCCATCCGCTACTCTTCCAGGAACTGCTGGGAGGAATAGCATTGGAAAGCTTCAGGTGTTAGACCTCGACGAGAGCCAACTACTTTATACTTCTCCTCAAAATGTTTATGACATACTACAAAGATGGAATAAATTTATAGTTTTGTTCTATTATTAAATCTTAGACAACGAACAGCAAATGCCCAAATATCAAATAAATCGGGTGAATTCGTAGGGTGGGACAGGCGATGCATCTTGTTGTCCACATCAAGGCAATTCGGTACACAACATTTTCTATAATTACGAATCTTTATGGAAAAGCACAAAATAACAGCGGAAAAAGCACAAAATAACAGCTCAAAAAGCACAAATTTATAATGGAAAAACAAGCTTATTAACAGTGGGCAACTAAATCAATTAAGCAAATTGGAAATGAAAACACAACTGAATACAACCACAATATAAATAAACAACATTCTCGTTTGGTTTAAGCCAAGACGCCATGACACCCCCCACAAAAATCAATATTCACCTGTCCGTTACACTCCCACCACCCACCCCACCACACGACTGCAGCGCCACCATGCGGACGTGGTTGATTTTTGCTCTATCCCAGGCCTGCGCATACCAGTTTCACACCCCTGCACGTCACATGTAATTATATGAAACACATTTGAAGAGACACGACAGACAACAATTTTAGCACGGTAGGATTTGGTGCTTATTGCCTGTCGTCTGCCGTCTACCTTGTCGCGCCGTTCCCAGATGGTACTTTAAGAGAAGCACCTCTTGGTGACGGTTTCAACTACATCAGTGGGAATCGGCTGCTGAAGGATTATCTAGAACTACGAATTGCGTTGAAGGATGGCATAACGGCTTGCAATCAGTATTTCAATGTGCCCTTTTTTTCAACGGCCTGGTCAAAAAAACCGAATTAAAACAATCGCAGTATCTCCAACATATACATATATCTGGACATATCCTATGAACAATAAGTACAAATTATTATTATATTTTCTGTGTTTTATATAAAAAAAAATTTAAAAAATATTTTTTTTTTAAATGAATATGATGAATTTGCATAGTGATGAATTGGGGTGTGACGAAATGTCGTAGTGATGAACTGCCACCGGGATGAATTGTCTGTGATGAGATGTCGCGTGATGAAATGTCGTGTGATGGGCTGTCATAGAACCATCAAATTTGTAGGCTGGCTCACGAGCTAGGAAGTACCTATCAACTTAGGAAGATGCGCAATGAGCCTAGTAAGGCCTAAGTGTTGTGGGGGTAACCCATCCTGCACACAGATACAGAAGTAATACATTTTTGAAGTGCCTCTTCTAAACTTTCGATTTTAAAATGTGACATATATTCACAATATGGTTCATTTATACTTGTAGAATTTTTTTTTACAGTAATGCCCAAAATAAGGAGTTTTGAAATTAACTGTTTCAAAGTTGTTATTTAGTGATAATATGTGTTGTAATAAGTCATTTAAATTCTTGCAAACTCTTTGGTAATAATCGTCATATGTCTCGTTTGCTTTTTGTACCGTTGTGGATAACTGTGCAAATAAAAAGTCTTCGGAAAGTCGTATTTCAAACCGTGTTACTGGAAAAATGTGAATTCTCGTAGTATCTGGGTTCACCATTGATACGAGAAGCAATATTAGCATTTAAAATTAATTCTTGGGATTGATAGAGAGTTTGATTGACTACCAATAAAATTATATACTGAATTAAAGTCTCACAAAACACACAGATCACTTACAATACTTCGCATAACAATCAAAACAGTCTAATAATATCAATCTAGTAAGAAGTCGACAAATATCGATATCGATAGCAACATTCTGGCAGATTATCTATTCTTGAATTTCACGGAGTAGAAATTTTGAGGGAAGAATAAGAAAAACATACAAATTTTGTACGTTGCAGATAAAAAGAAAAAACGGGTTTTCTTTTCCCTCGAATTCAAGAATAGCTACCTAGAATACCAACTCAGGGCACCCGTGAAAGTCCAAGGAAGGCCTTTTCACTTAAAACATTGGTTTCCAAAAATTTTTTCTATGACCCCCGCTTTTTTTGAAATAAAGAAGTAGTCATGCCCCACTATTATAGAAATAGAAACTACTTTTACTACAATTAAACTTATTTTTTTTAAAAACATTAACATTTAGAATCACTACTCTAATCTTATGCTTTATTATTTTTATCTGAATTTGTCAAACATTATTTTTTACTTTCCTATCTGTATACAGATATAAGGAAAGTATAGGAATCATGATTTTTTTCGACCTCGAGTTTTCGACGGATTTTTACGTTTTGAGGTCCCCTGAATCCGTTTTGACTATTTTCGCGATGATGTGTGTGTGTGTGTGTGTGTGTGTGTGTGTGTGTGTGTGTGTGTGTGTTTGTGTGTGTGTGTGTGTGTGTGTATGTGTGTGTGTGTGTGCATAACTCATGAACCGATACACGGAAAAACACCAAATTTTAAACTTAAGCTTTATTTCAGCGTCTAATGAGCTGATTAGATTTTGGGCAGAGTCGGAACATCTGGGGGGTACTTTATAGGTGGTCATTTTTATATTTTATGGAATATATCTGTTATTTACGTTTGGGGAAGAAATTTTTTTAAATAAAAGTTACTTCTTATTTTATTATCTATAATTTTTGTTATTTACAAAATTTTCCTAAAATGGTCCGTATTCGAGAAATTTGACAAAATGTAAAAAAAATATTTTTTTTTATAAAAATTGTTCAAACAAAAGTTGTTTGTAATATAATTCTCTATAATTTTTGGCCCATAGATAATTTCTCTAAAATGGACCGTATTCGAGATATTTGAGAAAATGTGTAAATTTTGAAATTTGAAGAAAACTCAAAAACGGATAAAGAAAAAATCAATAAATTTTAAACTTAAGTTTTATTTCGGCCTGACGTGAAATGATTAGATTTTGGACAAAGTCGGAACATCTGGGGGGGGTACTTTATGGGAGGCCGTTTTTATATTTTATGGAATATATCTGTTATTTATGTTTGGAGAAGAAAAT